GGCCTTTTATATCAGCTCTATTTTCGAAAGTCTGAACTTTTTGCGGCCCGGCTGTTGAAGAAGAGAGCCTCCTAATATCCCTAAGAGTCCAAAGCACGCAATATATCAGGTACTCGGGTTTGCGATAAGAGTTATGTAGGCTATTATTTTGGAGAGTATATGATAATTAGGTACTTGGACCCTTTGGTTCGGGTTCATCTGGTCCTCCAAGGAGCCCTGAGTCCCCAGAAGCACCTAAACCCTGTGCTGTTTCCTAGAGGCTCCACATATAAGGTTCCCTTAAGGGTTTAGGGGCTTAAGGGTTTAGGGTTTAGGTTTTATGGGGTTTAGGGTATAAGGCTCCGCATATACTACCATTATGGACTTAGGTCCCAAAACACCATTCTTATCACGGTTTTAGGGACCTGGCTCCATAATCGGTAGTGTACGTGGGGCCTCTGGGATACCCCTCTAACCCTAAACCGATAAACAATGTCCTAAGGCACCCTTGAGGGCATTCTTAACCCTAAGGCTCCATGTACCCATGTAGTATATACTTGGGCCTTAAAGTACCTACATAGGAACCCCTTTGAGGCTTAAGTATCTACTATAAAGGTACATGGAGCCTTTGGGTAAAGGAAGTATATATGGGGAGCCTCTGGGGAAGGCTTCGACTACGAAGAGGATGAGGGTGAGGCCTCGTCACAACGCGGATTCAGAAGGGCTGAGGACTTGCTCACCGTTACGGGCCTAGTTAGGGTTTAGTTTGGGTTTAGGAGTTAGAGTTTAGAGTTTAGAGTTTAGGACTTTAGGGTTTAGGATTTAGGGTTAAGGGCCTACTTGGGTTTATGGAGCATTCAGGCTAAGACTTTCCTTGGATTTCATAAGGTGTCTTCGCGGTCTGAGACAGTCTCGCAGGGTCTTCTGCTCTACACTAGCTTCAAAGTTTCCTGAAGTTGTCTTGATTTAGTATTGCGCTGCAGTTGTTGCTGTCATGTCCTTGTAGCGTAAGGAGAAGCGTGTTTTCATTATGCAGATGCCCAGTTCCTACACAGCAAACCCTTCGGTCTTAGCTTATAAGGGCTTGAATACTCCCCAAACATCCGGGAGGATCTAGAAAGTAATTAGATCTCTTCAGTGGGTTTCCTATCAAGTAGACTTTCGTAGTTGGGGTCCTAAATCACGGGGTTTGCCTTTTTCAGATCGGATCCTCCCCAGGGGGGTCTGGGCATGCGTAAGCTCTCTGAAGCCCTCTAGCCCTAGCCCAAAAAACCCAAACCCTACCACTGCCCGAAGCCACCAATTACCCAGACCCCCGGAGCATCTAGAAAGTAGATCCCCCCTAATTTGGGGCCTTATACTACCAAGGGTACTTTATAGGAACCCATCTACTGGTTGGATCCTCCCGGGGGGTCAGGGCCAGAAGCTCTGCACCTGCCTCGAGCTGCCTTCCCGTACCGCTGGTTTGGCCTGCTCTCAACGCATGACACTGACCCTCTGCTTTCCATAGCTGCTGTTCAGTCTCGTGAGACTGATCGCCAGGCTGGCGCACTTCTTGACACGGCGTTGCACCAAATTACAGGCACGCCGGACCACGCATTCCCGTTGAAGTGGTCCCGCCAGCCGAACGCAGGCCAGGCCCACCTGCGTTCCTTGCACCGCTTCAGCATTGACCAGTCGCGCTCATTGCAGATCTTGGAGGAACGGTTTGGGGTTTAGGGGTTTAGGGTTTGGGGTCTAGGGGTTTAGGGTTTAGGGTTTGGGGTTTGGGGTTTCGGGTTTAGGGTTTAAGGTTTAGGGTTTAGGGGTTAGGGGTTTAGGGTTTAGGGGTTTAGGGGTTTAGGGTTTAGGGTTTGGGGGTTTAGGTGTTTAGGGTTTAGGGTTCAGGGTTTGGGGGTTTAGGGGTTTAGGGCTTGGGGGTCCTATTCCTTCACAGACATTGCTGCCGAGCGCCCTCAATGGAATGCCTTCCCAGCAATGCAGCCGAATGCAAGGACCCACCAGAGAAGAGGACCTCGCGAGGAACCCTGAACCCTACGGCTGCTGATATAAATCCTGGATTGCCATAATAAGGTATATGCCACAATTCCCATAGTTTAGAGTCCTTTCGTAATGCAGCATTTCTATCATCAACCGTAAACCCACAGTAGGATCCTTTTCGAATCCTGAAAGGAACCCATTCGGAAACTTCCAAGGACCGCTTACAGGGAACCCAAAAATGATCCCTCAAAGGAAGCTGTCACAAGACCCAGCAGCCACTTGCAGGTAATTGCTGAATTTTCACAGAATCAGAGAAGCACCAAAATTCTAGACTACTACTACTACGACGACGACGACGACGTCTACTACTAGTATTCTGGAACAAGGCCTCATCCTTATCACGGGTTTGGCGGACCTAAGTCCCAAATAGTGGCATATGTGGGCCCTCTTGGTTTGAGAGCAGGTGCAATTCCGCGACGGCGTGCAGGTGGCAGAAATCATGCTGCAGCCTTATCCACCACCCGATCTCCCTCAAAGCTTGCGTGCCCTCAGTGTGAGAGCAGCATAGGAACTCTTCTACACTTCGCCATAACCTAGGGTCCGGTGGCTTTTGCTTAGCCTTGAGGAAAAGCCTTGTACTAGCATGCCCAGTAGTACCCTTATTCCCTTTTTGTAGTCCTAGGTTACTTACTAAGTTGCGTGTAGTCTCCAGAACCCGAGGTGTCCTTGTTTGACATGGGGCAGACTACTTGAGGTCATGCAGGACGATGTCGACCGACAGTATCTACACACATTCATCAACCATAAACCCCATGCCCTCTTCTTAGGGGTATTTAGAAATAGTTTTTAATTTTCGGTTATTATAATCCCTAAGAAACAGCTAAAAAATTGTAAATGTTTGCTAGGGTTCTAAGTTCAGTATAGTCTTGGTAAAGGCTGCAGAGGAGATTGGCCGGGCCAGCTTGAAGAACCCTTACAGTTACCTACTGCCTGGGGAACAATGAATAGGCATGCTTCGGTTGATGATATAGATCCTGCATGACCCATAATAAGGAATATACCATAATTCCCATAGTTTAGGGTCCTTAGGGTAATGCAATATCATCCACCGTTCCATCCCTCCATCTGTATAGGGACTACTTTAAGACCAAAGTAAATACTACTTGGGCACATGCACCCTTATAGGGGCATAGACCCATAGTAGGATCCATATTGTAAGGTCGCATAAAAAGGTATCCCCATCAGGCTTTCCCCAAAGCCTCTGCCCCAAGCTGCTTTAATGTGACATACTTTTGGACTATTGGGGCCGAAATAATTGCCGGTACTGTTTTGGGGGGTTCCTTTTTATGATTATAGAAAGATGGGCCCGAAAATCTTGTTCTAATAATTAAGGCTCCTACATTTTTCTCGCAATTCAACCAGGCCTGTGAAACTTGCCATTATTGGGCATCCCCGTGCTAGTCATGTCGACCCTGAACCTTAAACCCCCAAACCCTAAACCCCTGAACCTGAAACCCTAAACCCCCAAACCCTAAAGCCCTAAACCCCTTAACCCTAAACCCCCCCCCTCTCCATAGAGCCCCTAGAGGAGCCCCTTAAAGGTACCCTTATAGAAACCCCAATCTCTTCGCCCCAAAAGTGCCCTCCTTAAGGTTCCTAACAAATTGGGAAACCTCAAAGTTGAAGATTTCTGAGACCCCAAAGAGACCCAAGGACTCTCCCTAGGACTTTCCGGACCCTCCTAAGGAGATACCTGGGACCCTTACTTGGAGGGTCATTGGACATAGTAAGTAAGGTTATAAGTACCCCAAGTGAGGTTATAAGTATAGCTACCCTAATTATAACCCCAGTTACTAAGTCCCATGATCCTTTAAGTAGACCCTAAACCCTAAACCCTAAACCCCATAGATCCCTTTAAGGAACCCTATAGATCCCTTTAAAGAGCCCTTTAAGGAACCCCTGTTACTAAGTCCCATGATCCTTTAAGTAGGGCTCGAGTGAGGGTAAAAGGAGGGACCCTTAATAAGGACCCCTAGGTATATACCCCATAATATGGCCAGTATATACCCATTATATAGCCCATTATAGGTCCCCATTAAGGGTCCCTCCTTTTCCCCTTTGATTCGAGTGAGGCTGACCATCCTGCCGAAGAAGAGAGGCGAGCGGAGCGATCGCTTCCAAGTCGTCCTGGAGGATTCTTCGGGGTTTAGGGTTTAGAGTTTAGGGGTTTAGGATTTAGGGTTTAGGTCCTGGAGGATTCCTACTTAGATATTGAACAGGGGAACTTTAGACTTTTTGGCCTTTTATATTAGCTCTATTTTTGAAAGTTTGAACTTTTTGCGGCCCGGCTGTTGAAGAAGAGAGCCTACTAATATCCCTAAGGGTCCAAAGCACCCAATAATCAGGTACTCGGGTTTGGGATAAGAGTTATGTAGGTTACCATTTTGGAGAGTATATGATAATTAGGTACTTGGACCCTTTGGGTATTCTATAGAGAATACTAAAAATAGTATTGCTATGATGATTCTAAGGGTTGTATAATATTTGGTGGTTTAGGGGTTTTATAGAGTGTTTTCAGCATGACCAGACGTTTCAGGGCTGTTGAGGTTCAGGGCTGGGCGTTTTCAGTTTAGCGTTTCGTGTGAGAGGCTTCGCATGAGTTCGTCAGGATCCACGGGCTTCGGTATGATTTTGCAGAGGGTTCGTATATGCAACCATTCTGGAAGCAGGCCCCAAAGGACCATCCTAATCATGATGTTCTGGGACCTAATTCCATAGTGGTAGTGGAATGTGAGTCGCTGCGACTAGGCGACGACGGGGTTAGACGACTTTTATGGGAGTTTCCGAAAATAGGGGACCCTAATATAGTATCCTTATAAATAGCAGGATCCTGATTATAAGGACCCCAAAATAAGGTACCCTTAATTTTCGGAAACCTAAACCCTAAACCCTTTATAGAACCCTTATAGTACCCTTATGGATCCTTTCAAGGAGCCCTAGAGTACCCCTAGTTTTACCCTTATTATGAATCTGGAGTCAAAATGGAGGAGCCCACGGGCGGTGCCGAGTTCAATCCCGACTTCGACGGCGGGGAAGAGTCCCTCTGCTTATACCCCCAGACCCCCGGGAGGATCCAAAAAGTAGATTCTTAATGGGGGTTCCTATAAAGTACCTTAGTAGTATAGGGCCCCAAATTAGGGGATCTACTTTCTAGATCCTCCCGGGGGTCTGGGCGCAGGGATTCAGGGATGTAGGATACAGGTCTTCCCGTTCAGGGTTTGTATGGGGTTCCGTTAAGGGGTCCAAGGCTTACGCACGTTAAGGGTTTCCTTGAGGGTTACTGTCAGGCTCGACTAAGGGTTCGCATCCAGAGTTTATGTGAGGTACCATTAAAGGGTCCCTTCGACTCAACAGTTAAAAGCTAGGTTTTTATATGAGTTCATACTTAGGATTCTTATGAGGTGCCTTTAACTTTACTATAGGAGCTAGCCTTAACCCTAAACCCTAAACCCTATAAACCCTAAACCCTATAAACCCTAAACCCTAAACCCTAGCTAACCCTAAACCCTCAACCCTAAACCGAGGCTTGCTGGGCCCAAGGGCCAATGAGAAGAGCGTAAGCCCTGCGTATCTTTACTTGGAGGGGCAGGGGGCTTAGTAAGTAGAATTAAAAATGCCCTAAATGGAGTTAATCCAATTATAACCCTACTTACAACCTACCTACTAAGTCCCCTGCCCCTCCAAGTAGAGGCTTTAATACCCCTTCGCCGGCGGTTCCTTGGCGGTGTTACCTTACTTTTTAGGGTTTGATCTTGTTTCCTAAACCCTATGACGTAATTACCCGTACGTAGCATGAGGACTCCCTATTCTAATTATCCTGCAACTGCCCAAACATTCGTTCCACGGTTGATGATATGAATCCCGCATGTCCCATAATAAGGAGTATACCATACCCTTAGGCTCCCAAAAGGGTCATGGGCTCGCTGGGGGAGGGTTCGGGCTTTCGGGGCTAAGGCTAAGGTTTGGGATCTCACTACGAGGGTCCAGGAGCCTTAGGGTACTTCCCATATTAAGGCAATACAGAATTAATGTCATCAGCCGTAGTTGTTCAGGCCCTTCTGGGGTTACTCATAGGAGGCCAGAAGGGTTTTTGCCTATGGGGGTTTAGTAGGGATTACTTGGATGGGCAGGGGACTTAGTAAGTAGGTTATAAGTAGGGTTATAATTAGGGTAACTCCATTTAGGGTACTTATAACTCGACTTATAACCTACTTACTAAGTCCCCTGCCTCTCCAAGTACTTAGTTTGTAGTGACTTTGAAGCCTCATTTGCAATTAGGACTCCGTTTACAGTAGGGTACTTTAAAATATCCTATAAAAAAGTCTAAGTCACCCGACCCTCCACGTAAGGTTTAGGGTCTACAGGGTTTCTGCCGGCTTCTATATAATATGGCTTCCTGCAGGTTGCCGTAGCATGCCCAGAGGGTTTCTATAGCATGTCTATGAGGCCCCTATAGCATGTCTATAGCCTTTTGGGTTTCCTATAAGAGTTCTGTCGGGCTTTTCCTTAGGTCTTGCATCGCTCTCGTCTAGCGGATCCTTCGGGGCATAGGGTTTCCCAATCAGCTTAGGACTAGGAAATTTAGGGTTGGAGCAACATCCGGGTCGGAAGAACCGCCAGTATTTAGCGAGTGCGGCTGAGTCCGGCCCGTATATTACGGTAGATTGCCTCGTTCATGGGGTATTGGGCTCTGGATCCAAGCTGACTCCCGCTTGCCTACCATGAAGGGCGGCCCACAGCCCAGTTCATGGAACATCATTTTCAAAAAAAGCTCAGCCTCATCAAGAAACGAGCTACAAGTATCCAACGAAACGCCAAGGCCAAGGCCAAACCCTAAACTCCGCAAGAACCTTAACACCCCAAAGCTCCCCTTTTATTTGCTTAAGAACCCCAAAAAAATCAAAAATGTATTCCTTATGGTGGTAATATAGGGATTATTATTTTTATTTTTTGGGGGCTTCTTAAGCAAATAGTAGTCCCGAAACTCGAAACCCAAAGCCCTAAGCCCCGAACTCCTTAAGCTCTACCCTAAGGCTCCCGGACCCTCGTAGTGAAATCCCAAACCTTAGCCCCTCTACTTATAACCTACTTACTAAGTCCCGTGCCCTTCCAAGTAGGGTTCCCATAATATAGTGGTCATATTAAGGAACCCCTACCCCAAGAATCTTAAACCCCCCCTTTTGGCCTCCCATCAGTGATGGAGTCTTCGGGAGCCGCTGAGGTGTCAGCGTCTCACCATCATTGTCGAGAATGAAATTGCTGGAGGTCGGGGTGTACCTCGCACATCTTACTGCAGCTCTCAGGGTCGAGCTCAGGTTCAGCTTTGTATTTCTTAGATCTCCAATACCCAACCTTTATTTTTTTTTAAATATCTTTTTTTGTCGTAACCTGAAAGTTTAACCTTTTATTTCTATGGCGTATTGGGGAAGTAAGACGTGGCCGGGATACAGGAGAAGGTTTCGTAGCATATGCGAGCTTCTCATCAGTTTCCGTGGGTTTGGGTCATGTAAATCATTTGCTACTTGACGGTTTAGGGTTTACAGGGTTATAGGGTTATAGGGTTTAGGGTTTACGGTTTAGGGTTTATAGGGTTATAGGGTTTAGGGTTTAGGCTGACTTGTCCTGCGTGCATGACAAGTGCTGTTCATTTCTGCTGGAGCACCTGCGGGCTGTCTTTGTGCTAGAGGCTATGCATAGCAGCAATAAGAGCAAGCACAACAGAATCCTCCCAAGACCCTAGACTCTCAGCCTTACTGCAGCTTCTAAACCGTGAGTCGTAGCGGCTTCACCGGCAAACCTGAAACACGGAGCCTTCGTTCAACCCCGGTACCTACAACCTTACTTTACATCCGACGGCTTGGCACATGCAGTGCGATCTTTCGTGAGTTTCTCATGCCCGCAGCCCACGAAACTCGTCAGCTCCGGCATTAAGGCACAAACAAACCTTGCACCTTGAATCCATCCCTTCTTGGATTTTCGGGATCGTGACGGTTGATGATATAAATCCTGCATTACCCATCATAAGGAATATATGGGAGTTATGGTTTATTCCTTATTATGTTTCATGCAGGATATATATCCCTAAACCCTAAATCCCTCATAGATCCCTTAAAGGAGCCCCCTTAAAGGGTACCCTTATAGATCCCTTTAAAGGAACCCTAGGATATACATCATCAACCGAAGAACCCACCAGCACCTCAGGGGTCGCCTTTGGTTTCTGACACCCTGCAAATCCTAAACACCAAACGGGAGTTTCCAAAAACTAGGGGTACCTTATTCGGGGGTCCTTAAAATGAGGATCCTACTATTTAGGGTACTATACTAGGACCTGGAGTAGGCCCTTATTCCCTTTTTTAGGGTTTAGGTTCCCTTATAACACCCTTTTAAACCAAAAAGGGCACCCTTTCTATTCAGAGGTTACTCTTAGGTCTAGTTAGGGTACAAGATGTTTTCTTGACACGCTTTTTACTCGATACAACGTTCGCCGCAAACGACGATTTCCGTTTCCTTCGTGGGCATATCGAAGCACTTCCTCGCAACATCCAGTACACACGTGGAATCCTGTCAGCACTCTTGTCCGGATCTATTTACAATGGATTCCGCTTTGCTGCTGCAGGTTTAAAGCACAACAACTCATGCCCACATTGTGGTCAGGAGGAGTCACACCGCCATATGTTTTGCGATTGCGAAGCAGTGCAAGAGCATCGCCCTCCCCAAGGTGATGAACCGCTATTATCTTGGGTCACGGGGATTTTCTTCGAGCCTCCGGAGTTCCGTCAACATCTTTGGTCGACGCGCGAAACCTGGAAGCTACCTCCGGTTGAAGAGCGCTGGCGCCCACATTCTGAGGTGTTTGTGGACGGTAGCGTCTTCAATCAGCGGTGGGTTCCTATACGTGCAGGTGCTTCCGCCGTTACCGTTCCAGGACTCTTCAAACACTCGGTAGCTGTGCAGGGAGCGTCTGTGAATTCCTTTCGCTGTGAGCTTTTCGCTTTGATCTTGGCAATACACTTGACAGCGGGTGATGTTGTTATTGCAACTGACTGCGCTAGTGTTCTCCGTCGTGCAAAGTTTCTACAAAGTCATAACTTCTTGTGGGACTGTACTTTTCAGTTCGAAAACCCTGACCTGTGGGAGATGTTTTTAGATGTAGCTAGGAAACACGACGGGAAGATTCAGTTTGTCAAAGTCAAAGCTCATACCAACGGACACACTGGTCAGTGCCCAGTGCTCACAGCCGGGAATGAAGAGGTTGATGCTCTGGCCAAGGCAACGGCCAAAGCTTTATCCTCCAAACTCGTAGTCAAATTTCAGCCTTATCTCGAGAGGGCGGTTGCCGTCCAGGCGCATCTTATTGCGTGTCTCGTCAATCGTACCAATGCTTGCCAGCTGGCACCTTTTGATGAAGACGACAAACCACCAGCTGGCTTGATCCAAACCTTTGTTTGTACCTGCAAACCCCGACGTCGCTTAGTCACCAAGAGCCCCAGGATTTGCTACAAATCATGTCACTTACTTGGGCATACGGTCATTGTTGGTGATGTTGAAAGTAGAATACTTCAATCCTATAAGTCTCATGTGTTGCCACCAGAAGCTCTTTTCGAGCTCCTGCGTCGAAGATATTTGAGTTTCCTCACGAGCCTTCAGCCTGAAGGTATCCTTTTCTCCGGTTGGCAAGGGCTTAGTGTTGTCCCTGTTCGCACTTGTAAAAGACCCATTCCCTTGGCGGCTGCCCAAGCTCTTGCCAGCTTCATAGGTGAGCCCATTTGGTCCTTTAGCAACAGGTCCCAAGGACCACGCACATCGTGGCTTCAAGTTCTCATCGAGTTTCTTGCCATCTACGGTTTCTTTCCAGGGTTCTTGTCTCCGGGCATGACTGCTCGTATCTTAGTTTCCCGGTTTCGGTCTTACTTCTTGAGAATTTGTAAGGGTCGCGTTAAGGTGCTTCCTGTGACTCATGTCAGAAATGCAGCGGCATTCGGTATGACAACTTTGAGTGGTTTCTTCGGGTCCATGAAGTGCCATCATGTCCACCACCAGCTTTACATTTTCCTTCAAAGGGCGTTAGACAATAGCAGCAACGGCACTACATGGATACCTCAGTTCCACGACTTTAATAGTATTCCGCCATATTAGTTTTCTTTGTTGCATCAATTAATCTAACCTAAAACGGTTTCTTTTGCCTTCAGTCGACAGGTCGCGGCCTCAGACGCAACGTGCAGCAAAAAGTTAGGGTACTATATTAGGGTCCCCGATTTTCGGAAACTCCCAAATCCTCAACTCAAAAGCCCAATCCGCGATTCCCAAACCCCGCGTGAAGGTTTTCGAAATTAAGGGCGCCAGTCGTCGAAAATCTACGTTTCTCAACAAACAAGTAAACGAATAAAATACATAGACATATGTATTATATATATATATATGTATATATATATATATATATGTACATGCATGCATACCGTCGGAGTGCTTCGCATCCAAGAGGAGCTCTAATCCGCTTATAGTGGCCTTGGCACTTAGACTAGTGTTTTGGGTTACGTTTCGGATATGTTTGGTTTTTAATGGGGACTATACGGGCATACAGTAAGCATTCCGAATTATTCATACGCTGAAGCCTACCATAACCTGCCACAACCTCCTTTGGTAACGTAGGAGTTCACATTAAGGGTGAAACAACCTACAAAAAGGCCGACAAAGGATGTTGAAGCCCTAACCCAAAACCCCGAACCCTAAACCCTAAAGCCCAAACCGAGAACCCCTAACCCCAAACCCTAACCTTAAACCCTAAACCCGAACCCTAACCCCAAACCCTAACCCTAAACCCTAACCCTAAAATCCGACCAGGCTCCTGTTTCACGGCAGCGATCGACAGTTTCATCAACTTGGACGAAATTCGACAGGCCTCGTAACTCCTGAAGTTATCCCTCAGAGTTCCTTATAATCAATACTAATGCTACAGAATACCTCGCCCATGCAAACAAAAAGTATTCTGATTATTCTTATTATGAAGCTATCCTTCAGGGTTCCTTAATTCTACAAGATCCCTCCACGCAAGCACGTGTTCTGATCATTACCCCCTTGCATTACTGCCAAAGTCGCAAGTTCGACTTCAGAGAGTTCTGTTGAGGCTCAGCTCTTTTCCTTATTGCAACCTATGAGCTATCAGGATGTGTTACATCACATTGAGTCACCCCCGAAGCCCTGTAAGCCCTAGGCGCCTGCAACGCCTTCGTAGTCGAGTACCTTTGGCCCTGAGACTTCGATTGCCAGACAGTAAACCCTAAATCCTAAACCCTAAGTCCTAAACCCTAAATCCTGAACCCTAAACCCTAAATCCTGAACCCTAAACCCTAAATCCTGAACCCTAAACCCTAAACCCAGACAGTACCCAAGGGGCCCCACATCCGGAAAACCGCATAGATCCCTTTAAGGAACCCTATAGATCCCTTTAAGGAGCCCTTTAAGAACCCTTACTAAGTCCCCTGGGCCTCCAAATACGGTTTAGGGTTTTAGGGTCGGGAGGTACTTGAAGGCTCATGGGACTTAGTAAGTAAGGTTATAAGTAGGTTATAATTAGGATAACCCCACTTAGGGGACTTATAACCCCAGTTATAACCTACTTACTAAGTCCCATGATCCTCTAAGTACAGTCGACCTCAATTCCCAAAACGGTAGCTTTTGAGCCAAATACATAAGGGGAAGCATAAGCAGCAACCCTCAACATACAGGTTTTTGAGGTTCAGACAAACCCTAAAAGACCCCAACCTTGTGGACAATCTACAGCCCCGTTAAGGCCTAAACCCCTATGGAAAGCCTTTTAGAAGCCCTCTAGAATGCTTATATATACCTTGCGAGAGCCCGCAAGCTCCACTAAAGCCCGAAGCCCAAAACCCCGTAAGCCATGAACCCGAAACCCTTACAACCCCTGAACCTTAAACCCGAAGCCCAGCAAAAAAACCCTAAACCTTAAGGCCTTGAGCCCTCGATCCCCAAACCCTAAACCTTCCAAACCCTCTTTCCCCTCTAAACCCAGACCTTCCAAAATCCCTTAAGTGAGGAATATACCTTAAATTATAATAGGATCCCTAATAAGATTTAAGGTATATTCCTTGATTAAGGGTTTTTGGAAGGTCTGGGAACCTTAAACTCCAAAGCGCCCAACCCTTCTCAGGGCACAGCGCTCTGGGTAGACCAAGTCAAAGAGGCCTTTTCGGGGTTCAGGGGTCTTGGGCATCCCTTATTCCCTTTTTAAAGGGATCTATAAGGGTTCCTTAAAGGGATCTATAAGGGTTCTATAAAGGGTTTAGGGTTTCCGAAAATTAGGGCCTAGGATGCCCAGTAGTACCCTTATTCCCTTTTTGTAGTCCTAGGTTCCTTATTAAGTTACCCAATACCAAAAAGAGAGGCCTTTTTATTCTTAGGTTACTGGGTATCCTACGGGTTTTGGGTTTAGGGGCTTCGGGTTTCAAGTTTAGGTCTTTACGGACCCAAAGAGGTATCCTTATAAAATGTGTTCCACTTAGGCTTAACAGCTGCCCATACGGGTTCGGAGTTTAGGGTTACCCGAGTAGTAGAAAGTTTGGATGCTATCGTAGGAATTCCTTCTATGGTTTGGGTAAGCACCCTCCATAGATTGACTTAGGACCCTTTGGGGGATTATCTTCCTATTCGGATTCAGCAAATAGGGATATCGTACCCTATGGGTCCAGGTGCAGAACCTTTATGGACTTGGGCCCCGAAAGACCATATCGCAATGTTTGTTTTGGGAAACCTACTTGCCTGATAGGATCATCTACATTCTACTGGAAAATCCTCGCGTTGGTGTTCTTAGGAATCATTGCGTGTTTTCAGGCTATCATAAGACTCCAAGCCGTTATTCAAATATGCATTGTTATTCCAATTCCCAGTGTGCGCAAGTTACACACTCGTTTATGTGAAGTGCACCTCCGTATTTTCAGGTAGATGCCTTGATTGAGAGCCTCCGGCGTTTCTGGCGATCCTTAATTAAGACCCTGCCACTATAGAACGGTATAAATCCTTGATGAAGCTATACCCAGAGGCTCCAATAAAAACTTATATATATATATGCATATATATATATACACACACTACTTACTATGGAAGTAGGCCCCCGGCACCAAAACAGGACTGGTCTTTCGGGACCTAATTCCATCATGTTAGTATATATGTGGACTGAGCCAGTAAGTATCCACACCCAAGTACCTAACTATTAATTCCTTCGAGCCCCTAGCCAGCCCTGAAGCCCTCAATCTTACACCCCTAACCCTGTTCCTTAAAGCCTAAACCCAAGCCCTAAACCATAGGACACTTAAGCCCTCAACCCTAAATCTCCAAGCCCCAAGCCCTAAACCCTGAACCCTAACGGTCCAAACCCTATAAGCCCTAAACCCCCAAACCCTAACGCCCGAAGCCCTGTATCTTGTTGTATCTTGTGGTTCCTTATGAAAACCGTAATTAGGTCCCGATGTGGGATCATTGTAATTTTCCCTTATTGTTTGTTTTCGGAGACCGAATGTTCAAAAAGATTGTGACTGTTGAAACTGACACCTAGAATCCCGTAAACCCTGTAGAACGCCTAAAGGAATCCTCCAAGGAACACATAACGGCATGAAAGCGCTGGGAAGGCACTGTTTGTCGGTGGCTCACGCGAGGAGCAGGAGCGACTGCCTCGTCTCTTGTGGACTCCCAGCACCCAGAGACTCTAAAACCCTTCAATTAAGGAATATATTTACCTGAAATTTTACCAGGACCCCGAACAGCCGTTAAGGAATATTCCTTCATTTAGGGATTTTGGAGTCTCTGGTTACCTTGTGGTTTGGGGCCTCAGGGGTTTACAGTAAACCCCATAAAGTTGGAAACCGGGTTAAGGCCAAATAGTGCTGGGATTCCCTATACATTAGTCTTAAGGATTGAGGCTATTGGGTTTGCAACTTTCTGGCTTCTACTGTAACCCAAAGGGTCCAAGTACCTAATTATCATATACTCTCCAAAATAGTAACCTACATAACTCATATCCCAAACCCGAGTACCTGATTATTGGGTGCTTTGGACCCAAGGGAACTCCAGAAAGTTGGAATAAGGATTAATGGTAGGATCCCCTATAATTTACCTTAAAGGGGATACGATAATGATATTCCAACTTTCTGGCTTCTACTCTAAACCCAAAAAACCTAAAGCCCTTAAGGGAACCCTAAAACCCTAAGCCCCTGTAGATCCCTTATAGAGCCCTTTAAGGAGCCCTTTAAGGGTTCAGGGTTTGGGGCTTCGGCTCCCGGGTTCATTTAGGATGAGGTCTTCTGTCTGGTGCTTAAAGTAAAAGCCAGAAAGTTGGAATATGATTATCCTAAGCCCTTTATGGTAAATCATAGGGTATCCTACCCTGAAACCATATTCCAACTTTCTGGGGTTCCCTTTAGGAGGGAATGGGGGAATGGATCCCTACCCAAAGGGTCCTAGGTACTGTTATGGGGGATACTTCCCCCCAGATCATAATAGTAACTCCTCATATGGAAACCCCACATTCTACTATACAGGTACTTTGGACCCTTTGGGCTATAGTAGTCCCTATATATTCCCAATAATAGTCTCCATAATCCACTCCCAAATTCCCTACTAAGAACCAGACAGTCTTTGGTGGCTAAGTGGTGCTACTCAGGGCTTTCCTAGGATTTCCAACTACACTCGATTGTAGCTGAACTGCCCACTGCTTGGGCTAGGGTTTCGGGCTTTTTGGGGTGTGGGTTGAGGGTCTCTGCGGGGCTTAGGTTTCGGCTTTGGTGGTTAGGGTTTAGGGGGGTTGAGGTACGGAGGTTGTGGAGGTGATTACTTGGAGAGGCAAGGGACTTAGTAAGTAGGCTATAAGTGGAGTTATAATTGGTGTAACTCCATTTAGGGTACTTATAACTCTACTTATGACCTACTTACTAAGTCCCCTGCCCTTCCAAGTAGGGTTAATAGGAGCTTTCGGTGTTAGCGTTTGGGGATTATGGCTTTGGGGTTTAGGTTTCAGCTTTAGGGCTCTGGAGTGAGCGTTTAGGGCCTACTTGAAGGATCATGGGACTTAGTAAGTAGGTTATAATTGGGGTTATAAGTCCCCTAAGTCGGGATACACCTACTTATAACCTTACTTACAAAGTCCCATGAGCCTTCAAGTAGAGTTTAGAGTTTATACTTATAGGCCTTTTGGGTGAGAGTTTAGAAGGTTTCAGGTTTAGGGCTTGGGGGGTCATACATTCAGCTATAGAGAGACATATAAATCGGGTTACGTGGCCCGAAGGTTTAGCAAGTCAAAAAGCAAAAGGCTCAGATAGACAAACCCGAAAACTAGAGAACCATGGCAAGCTATACTTCACTACACCATACTACTATGAGACAGCGTACTATAAGAGGATCGTATTCCAAAAGATCCAGATCCCGGTATCTTGCAACCGATAGAAATCAGCAGCATGCCGTTGTCGAAACTCGTCCGAGCACTTGAAAAGGTCCTATATGACTGCTTCATTTAACCTTTCAAACCCCCTTCTCAAGTCCTTCTGATACCTATCCTAGTTACAAGATGTTAAGGCCACCATATTCACCCATCCAGAATGACTGCAAACCGTGCTTGCAGAACTCTTGCCGAGGCTAACCAGCCTCTTTGGAAGCCTTTACCGCACGTGGAAAACCCGAACCCTAGACCCAAAAAGTCGAAAAGAACTAAAGCCCTATAAACGACCCTTGTGGACACCCCTACCTAAACCCTAAACCCTAAACCCTTAACCGGAAGTCTTATGGAACCCTTGACGGAGCCCGAAGCTCTGAAAAGAACCGACTAGCCTGGACAAAAAGACTGTATACACCCATGCAGGAACTCTTAAAGGGAACTCCAGAAAGTTGGAATATGGATTAATGGTAGGATCCCCTATAATTACCTTAAAGGGGGATATTCCAACTTTCTGGCTTCTACTGTATAGGAACCCTCAAAGGAATCCTAAACCCTACACTCTAAACCCTTCACCCTAAACTCTATGCTGTGAAGGGATTCACAAACCGTGGCCTAAACTTGGCAGGAGCAGGCAGGGGCACTAGACTGGCCCCTGGGCTGCTATCTGTTAGGGAGGTTTAGGGTTTAGGAATTTAGGGGTTCCTTTCAAGGGATCCATAAGAGTTCCTTTACAGGGATCTAGAAGGTATCTATAAAGAGTTTTAAAAGTTTAGCGTCAAAGGGTTCAGGGGTTTAGTGTTTAGGGTCTGGGGTTTTAGGGTTCGCTGTTTGGGGGTTTGGCAAATTTGGGGCTTGAGGGCTTACGGATTATGGTTGGGGTTTGGGGATTTGTGTTCAGGGCAGTGGGGTCAAAGGTTTCAAGGCTAGATTGTGTGCGCCAGATTCACTTGTCTTCGTTTCGGATAACTTCGTTGATGCCTTTCCAGTTGGGGCATCTATACTTGTTGTGTTCTTGTGTGTTTGTATACTGGTTGTTGAACCCTTAACCCTAAATCCTACCCTAATGCTCCTGGACCCTCGTAGCGAGACCCAGAGATCCCATGACCCTTGTCGGAGCCTTAGGGTAAGCCATAAAATGGACCCTTCCCTAAAATGTAAACTTTGGCTTTATAGCGTAGTCGCTATATAGGCACTTTGGAGCTTAAGTATATGGTATTTGGGTACATGGCCCCTTAAGCTAAGCTCTAAAATGAACCTTTCTTTTGCTGTAGGTGTGTTTATCCGTATTACATCTCGTTGGGCCCTGGTCCAGTTCTGGGAGATTTGGCGTTTAGGGCTTGCCCTACGCCTAAACCCGTAAGCCCTCAAACCCTATTAAACCATCCTAAACCCCTACACCCTAAACCCCTAAACGCGTCACCCTTCAGCCCTGAACCCGACACTCTTTCTTCGTATTCTTGTTGCTTTGGTTCGGCGGCTTCTGTTGTGACCCAGGGGGTCCATGTATTCTACTATTATGGAATCAGGTCATAGAACTCTTATTATAGATCCCTGCAAGGATCCCTTGAAGGAGCCTTTTGAGGAGCCCTTTAGAGTAGTTTTGAAGCTGAAGGCTTAGCCAATTCCTCCCCTGAACCTAAACCTTTGCCGCTGAAGGCTTAGCCACTTCCTCTGGCTGCCCTGGACTCTCACCTTCTCTTTGTTCACACCACCCCCCGCCTACCTCGGCGGATGGGCCACTTGACGCGAAACGTTTAGGGCTTAGAGTTTAGGCTCAAATCCTAAACCCAGTACTTCGTGAGCTTTTGCAGGCTTTGTTTTAAGTCAACAAGGACTTATTCGGGTTCTATCAGATTGGGAAGGAGGTTTCGACTTTCACCGGGAAACCAAGCGGTCCTATGAGGGTTTGGGGCTTGGGGCTTAGGCCTTGGGTTGAGGGTTTGGGGTTCTATAAAACGGCTGTGCGTTAAGATGTTCCAACCATAGACTGGACACAGCCTGAATCCTAGACCGTATGTAGACCGTAATGCCAACCTCTTAAACCCCTGTTGTCCCACGCCTAAACCGCTGCACAATTTCTGGAGCCATCGTGATCGTTTAGCCAAACAAGCTTTTCCGCAAGGACTGCCAGCATCAAAAAGCTGAACCCAAGCCCCAATCCACTTTGCCCCAGTGCCGGAAAGCAACAAAAACGTGGCAGGAGCCAGAGCAGGTTTATACCACAGCTCCCAAAGCCTATTATACCAAGAGGCTACATCTACACTACCATTGTGGAACTAGGTCCCTTACCCATAGTCAGGCTGGTCCTTTGGGACTTAATCCTATCACGGTTATATAGCTGGAGCCTTTGGGATACTTACGGTAATGCAGGATTGTCCATCCACGGAAGGAAGATCGGTTCGTTCCGTTGAAAGCCAAGCCCAGCGTCGAACTATATCCTGACAGGTTAGCCTAGCCCTTTTGCCCTTAGGATTTTAGGGGCCCCCTTATTAAGACCGCATAGTAGGAAAAGGGTACACTTATATAAAGGCGCTACTTCGGGTTTAGCTCATGAACTTCAGGGGTTAGGACTTCTTGGACGTAGGAGTTTATCAGGCTACAGAAGGTCTTAGAGCCAAAGACACTCATCCCACAGAGATTTTTGTGGTTTAGGGTTTAGGGTTCCGGGTTTAGCGTAGGGCCCATGTGCCCAAATAGCATATGCAAGAACTGTCTATTTAGGTACTTTGGGACCAAGGTATATACTATTTGGGTATATGGACCCTTAGAGTATACTGTTAGTTTAAGTTTGTAGCCGGTATCCTTAACACGAGACACTTCAATGAACCGATTCTCGAGTTCCTAAACAGTAAAGCCTACTAGGATGCCCAGTAGTACCCTTATTCCCTTTTTGTAGTCCTAGGTCCCTTATAAAGTTACCCAATACCAAAAAGAGAGGCCTGTTTATTCTTAGGTTACTGGGTATCCTAGCTTATAAGCCCCAAAGCCGAAGCCCTAAAACCCTAAACCCTGAACCCTAAACCCTACATCCGAAAACCTAAACCCTGAGCCCTGAACCCTAAACGCCGAAAATCCACAACACCCTGAGGGGCGTCCGGGGCCTAGTGTTGAGAGCTTTCCGGATTTCGGATCAGGGTTTGGGGTTTCTGGGTTTATATAGGGGTTTAGGTTTGAGGGGTTTCGGGATTTTGGATTAGGGTTCTTCCTGAATGGGGGCTTTTATAGGGGACCATCATAGGGATCCATTCCCTCCCTACTAAGAACCAGACACAGCCCAGAGGTATCTTGAAAGTAGACCCCCCCCAAACCTTCCAAAATCCCTTAATGAAGGAAAATTAGTCTTAAATTATATAGTCGGATCCCTCTTCCTTTATAAAAGGTCCAAGGGTACAAGGAGGGACCCTTAATGGGGACCCCTAGGTATATACCCTTAGTATAGCTATTATATGCCCATACTAAAATGGATTTTTGAAGGTCGGGCCCTCCCCCCAAATCTGGCATCCCATACTGCAAGAGTATATACTTAACTGTATAGGAGCGCGCCGAAGGGATACTAAGCCCTAAACCCAGACCCCCGGGAGGATCCAAAAAATAGATCCCTTAATGGTGGTTCCTATAAAGTACCCTTAGTAGTATAGGGCCCCAAATTGGGGGATCTACTTTCTAGACCCTCCCTTAGTTTTCCAGTACCCAACCTTTAAACTTTTTGGCTTTATATATCTTAGTAGTAATCTGAAAGTTTAACCTTTTATTTCCCTAGCTTATTGGCGAAGTAAGCTCCCGGGGGTCTGGGAAACCAGGTCTGCTTCGCCGTCTCTTTAGGCCACATTGCTTGGCTGACGGCCACGTGGTTGAAGTAGGAGATATAACTAAAAAGGTTAACCTTTAGTTCCCCATGATACCCGACAAGTAGGTAAGTCATAGGGACCCTTAGACGGGGTACTGGGGAGGGGGGGTAGGGGACTACACTTCCTTGAATAGGCCTTATTAAGCCTTATTAGAGGCATTAAGGCCCCCTACCCCCTACCCCCCTGAGGGTACTAATGATTAAAGGTTCGACGGGGGTAACATGGGTTTGAGGGTTTCGGGGCTTGGGGGATCTTCAAGACGGAATGAGCCCTGACAGGGTTTATGGGTTCATGTACCATATAGGGATTCAAAGTGTAAGGGCATAGGGCCCCTACTTGCAAGGGTCATGTGGTCTGTAAGGTACAGCACCTTAGAGACGAGGATAAGGGTTCCTTTAAAGGTTTAGGAGGTGCCTCTGGACTCTCTGGGTTGGGTGCTGCCCCCCATATTGGGACTACTATGAAGGGCCTTCTATTTCTATGTTGTTCTAGTTGTCATTCCATTAAGTTCCTAAACCCTAAACCCTAAACCCTATTATGGTAACTTAAATTAAGTTGCTGCTGAGTTGGGGGGGAAGTATCCAACGTGCAATCTTTCTGCTTGTCTTTTGAGTTCAGGCTTTGGGGCTTGGGGTGTGAAGTGTGCCGATTGAAAGTAGAACCCCTAAGTTGAAGCCCTACCCAAAGGGTCCGAAGTACCAATATGGTAGAATGTAGGCTTTCTATGCTAGGAATCACTATTATGATTTGGGGAAGTATCCCCCATAGCAGTACCTAGGACCCTTTGGGCTATACTTTTCAAGGCTACTTATTTGTGGAAACCCCCTTCACGGGATCTACTTGTTTGATCCTCTAGCCGGGTCATTGCCAAACTCTCATTCTCCGTGTGCCTATATCATACACATCTTGGCCTCAAACTACCTTTGTACTTGGAGGTCCATGGGTAGTTATAAGTAGGGGTATAAGTAGGGTAACTACACTTAAAACCCATATTAGGAGACTTATAACCCTACTTATAACTACCCATGAACCTCCAGGTAGGAGCCCCGTTGAAGGCTATGCAAGTACATACTACGGTTGATGATGTATAGCCTGCATTGACCATAATGAGGATTATACTATCATTCCCACCGTCTCAGGTCATTCAGGTAATGCAGTACGAAACAAGAAACAACTAGCGGCTTGGGTCAAGGCTTTTGGAACGGTGAATGGTTTAGGGTTTAGGGTTTGGGTAGTAAGGGCTTGGGGTGAAGTACTTAGGGTTTAGAGACAATCCTCAACCTGTATCCCAAACCGTTACCCAGAGGGTTCAAGCGCCTGAGTCGTAGGTCCCGAATTCCATGAATCTGATTTTTTTGACACCTAGCACCACTTAGGGTTACGTAGCCCTGACAAATCCGAAAGCCTACAATTCCCAAAGGCTCCGTGTACCTATATAGTAGGTACCTAGGCCTTAAAGTACCCATATAGGGACCCCTTCAAGGCCTAAGTACCTACTATAATGGGTACTTGGAGCCTTTGGGAAAGCTGCTCAGATTATTATCGGTGACCTTGCCGAACTGTTCGGCTGTGAGACTTGGCTGGCTTTGAGAGGGTTATAGGGTGCCCAAAAAGGGACGATAATTCACCCAATAGGGTTTCTGACCTTTTATGGGTTCATTTCATCCCGAAGGTTCGTAGGGGTTTAGGGTTTAGGGGTTTAGAGTTTAGGGTTTAGGGGTTTAGGGTTTAGGGGTTTAGAGTTTAGGGTTTAGGGGTTTAGGGTTTAGGGGTTTAGAGTCTAGGGGTTTTGGGGTTTAGGGCCTCATGGGTCCTACTACGAAGAATCAGTATTCCAATTTCTCTCATGCTTCTGTACTGCGGTTGATGATATAAATCCTGCATTACCCATAATAAGGAATATACCATAATTCCCATAGTTTAGGGTCCTTAAGGTGATGCAGGATTTATATCATCAATCGTGCGGCCACGTTTCAGTCCAACCTGAACGGGCGAGGAGCTGAAGCGGCATGTGAGGTTTAGGCGGACGCCGTGCAGGTCAGAAGCCGATTATAGTGCAACATAGATTCCGAAAGCGGCGCCGCTGCGGTGGACAAAATTCTGGAGGCGCGGCGAGCGATTGTGTCCCGGGGCATTCTCGGTGGCGGTCAGTGTGTGCCTGACGTGTTCTTTACGCCGTGCAGGTCAGAAGCCGATTATAGTGCAACAGAAGTTTCGAAAGCTGCGAATGTGGCTGTGGAGATGCAAACGATCGATGAGGCCTGCCTTGCTTTTATCACACGAGAGCAAGAAGGCCTTTGTGTGCAATTGATCCGTGCAAACCTAAACGGCCCTAAACCGTGAGTTTTTGGGTCCCTGATATGATACGGCACCTAATGACCTAGTATTTAGGGTACCCAAAAGGCGACGATAGTTTTGACAACCACTCAATAGGGTTTCTGACCCTTTAGGGGTCATTTCATCCCGAAGGTTCCTTCAACCCGAACCTTCAAAGCAACGAAAGTCTAAAAGGTGTAGGGGTTTAGAGTTTAGGGTTTAGAGTTTAGGGTTTAGGGGTTTAGGGTTTAGGGGTTTAGAGTTTAGGGGTTTAGGGTTTAGGGGTTTGGAGTTTAGGGTTTCGGGGTTTAGGGATTAGGGGTTTAGAGTTTAGGATTTCGGGGTTTAGGGGCTTAGAGTTCAGGGTTTAGGGGTTTAGGGGTTTAGAGTTTAGGGTTTAGGGGTTTAGGGTTTAGGGGTTTAGAGTTTAGGGTGTCGGGGTTTAGGGTTTAGGGGTTTAGAGTTTAGGGTTTCGGGGTTTAGGGTTTAGGGGTTTAGAGTTTAGGGTTTCGGGGTTTAGGGGTTTAGAGTTTAGGGTTTAGGGGTTTAGGGGTTTAGAGTTTAGGGTTTCGGGGTTTAGGGGTTTAGAGTTTAGGGTTTAGGGGTTTAGAGTTTAGGGTTTCGGGGTTTAGGGTTTAGGGGTTTAGAGTTTAGGGTTTCGGGGTTTAGGGTTTAGGGGTTTAGAGTTTAGGATTTCGGGGTTTAGGGGCTTAGAGTTCAGGGTTTAGGGGTGTCGGGGTTTAGGGTTTAGGGGTTTAGAGTTTAGGCTTTAGGGGTTTAGGGTTTAGGGGTTTAGAGTTTAGGGTGTCGGGGTTTAGAGTTTAAGGTCCTATAAACGGTCTCGGGCCCTCAACCATCACATCCCCAAGTGCTCCTGTAAACGTAGACTCTCAAACCCCGAAGTCAGCCCTAAACCCTGAACCCCAAACCGTGTAGCGTAGGTCCTGCTAAGCTTCCACAGACCTTCAGCCCTAAGCCCTTGGAAAGCTTATGAAACAGCATTTGGGTAGTTCTCTAATTGCGGGCCCGTTGGTAGGTCACGAAGATAAGCAAGATAGTATAGCACCCTTATACACGGGATCAAAATTTAGAGAACTACCTATAAAATCGGCATGCCCGATCTCTGATCTGCCCATTAGACCTCAAGGTCCAACGAAAAGCTTGGGTCTTAGGGTTTAGGGCCCGGTGCTTAAGGTCCTGGGTTTAGGGGAGAAGAGAATTTTGGGGACCCCAAAAGCACATAAGCATAAGCATTTTACCGGGATATCCCTACCTTATTGGGCTTCATTATACGGGGGTTTATATGGGATATCCCTATCCTAGTTTTTGCTTATGTGTTTTTTGGGGCCCTAGAATTGGCATTTGAGTTTCTGCGCTCCATTGGGAGTTTAGAACCTGTACCCAGAGGGTCCAAGTATCCAAAAAGTAGGGTTTTAGGTCCCAAAATCCATACTCCGAATGGTTTTTGGACCTTGAAATCCTCCTATTTGGGTACTTGGACCCTTAGGGGTAGAAAAGAGGGCCGGCGAGTTGCGCCAAGTCATTTTTCAGATGCTCAGAAGATCCGAAGCCCAAACTCCAAGCGTAGGTCCCTCTTTCGGAAGACTTAGTAAGTAGAAGCCCAAAAGCTGGAAACCTTCAGAGCCTCCATCCTTAAGAGTACTGTATAGGGAATCCCAGCACTATTTGGCCCTAATCCAGTTTCCAACTTTATGGGGTTTACTGTAGCAAGTAGGTAATAAGTAGACTTAGAGTGCCCTCAGTGGGATCCTAATTGGGGTTATGGTACCTATAACTGGATAAAATAGCTACTTAGCAAGTCCCCCGACCCTCCAGTAATAAACACGGATCCTCTTGGTTTCTTTCATCAAGGCCCCAAACGATCGGAGTCGTGACACGAGAAGATGGGTAATGCAATATGTCGTTCGTCCACCGGAAGTATACAACCTAAAATCCCCGTAGAAGCTCACCCTAAAGGTTCAAAAACCAAATAACCGTATACCACGTAAGCCCTAAACCCCTGGGTGCTGCAACAGAATACCTACAGAGCCTAAACCTTAAACCCACAGCCGTTGGGTGCTGGAACAAACCTACGAAGCCCAAACCCTCAACCCTATATCTCCAGGTGCTAAAACTGCATAGGGCACTTGGACCTTCGGGGATGATAATTCCTATACCACCTCAATTCGCTAGCCCTCTAAACAGAAACCCAAAGGGTCCAAGTACCTAATTATCATATACCCTCCAAAATGGTAACCTACATAACTCTTATCCCAAACCCGAGTACCTGATTATTGGGTGCTTTGGACCCTTAGGGAAAAGGCACAAACTGACGAAGACCCGGGGGTGGGGATTCAGAGTCTAAACCCCTAACTTAGTTCTCCAATACCCAACTTTTAAACTTATTGGGTTTACATATTTTAGTAGTAACCTGAAAGTTTGACCTTTGAATTACCTGGCTTATTGGGTAAGTAAGCTCCTAAACCCTAAACCCTAAAACCCTAAAACCCCTAAACCTGAAAGCCTAAAGCTCGAAGGTAGCGAACGTGGATGACAACATCACTGCCATCTCCTTCGTGGCGCTTGGAACTTCTGTCCCGGACACCCACCACCCTTGTGGTGTTCAGGGTTCCTTTAAGGGTTTGGGGTTTCAGGGGTTAGGGTTTAGGGTTTAGGGTTTAAGGTCTAGGGTTTAGGGTTTAGGGTTTAGGGGTTTAGGGTTTAGGGTTTCAGGGGTTAGGGGTTCCTTTAAGGCTTCCTTTCGGGTTTAGGGTTCAGGGGTGCTTTCGGGCAGTCTTGGAACGTTGGCGTGTCTTTACTCGGGTTATGCTTGGGGCTTGGGGTTTTGCTATTATTTGTTTAAGAGCACCCAAAAAGTAAAAAATATATTCCTTATAGGGATACTTTTTATTTTTTGGGGGTTCTTAAGCAAATAGTAGTTTGGGGGTCTAGAGTTTATGCCAGAGAATGGTTTGGGAGTTTGGGTTGCGTCGTCGGATATCGCTTAAACTCTCGGTAGAAAGGTTCCGACCAGAACAATGCGCACCGAGACCTTAAACGGCCTTAAACCCAGAGACTCCACAGGCTACTGCAAGTCTAAATTCCTAGACCCTACTTGGAGGGGCAGGGGACTTAGCAAGCAGGTTATAAGTAGAGTTATAAGTGCGCTAAATGGAGTTACCCCAATGATATCCCCAATTATAACCTACTTACTATGTCCCTTGCCCCTCCAATCCAAGTACAAACCCCAACCAAACCTAAACCCTAAGCCCCTAAACCCTAATTGAACCGAAACACTAAATCCCACTAAATCTAAACACTACAGTAGACTTAGTATAGGGGCCTAAATAATATTATGGAACCCTTAGAGTATCCCTTGAAAGGAATCTTTAAGGGGACACCCAAAACCCTATTCTATTTATTAGGCCCCCATACATCAGCAAGCGCCCTTTCTCTCTTTGTCTGCCTGAAACTCAGTGTCATCGGTGCACTGCTGTTGGATCTTCAGGATTTCAGCGAAGCTTTAGCTTATTGAAGATCCGTTAAGGGTCCCATAGGGTTTAGCTTTTTTCTAGTAGGTGTTTAGGGTTTAGGGGTTTAGAGTTTAGGGGTTTCAAGTTTAGGGTGTTGGGTTTTGGGTATAGAGACCTGAGTAGTTGGAATAGGGTTGCGGGGTTGACTACTTGAAGGATCATGGGACTTAGTAAGTAGGTTATAATTGGGGTTATAAGCCCCCTAAGTGGGGTTACACTAATTATAACCTACTTATAGCCTTACTTACTAAGTCCCATGAGCCTTCAAGTATTCTATAACGACGCTAAGGAACCCCCCCCCCCCCCCAATATGGTTTTGACAGTTTGTAGGGATCTAAGGACTCATATGTTAAGGCTCTAGGGGCCCAAAGACCATACTATATCAGGCTTTTGGGCTATTTTGATCCCTAGGGATTTTTGTAGGGCTCCAATATGAAGCCTGGAATGACTGCAAGCCCTCGCGCTAAGGGACCATAAGTTAAGGGGCTAGGGCCGAGACACCATACCTTACAACCCTTGGACCCAAATAGTAGGGTTTCAAGGTCCCAAAACCATTCAGAGTATGGATTTTGGTTCCTAAAACCCTACTATTTGGGTACTTGGACCCTCTGGGCAAGGCATTTGGGAGATGTTGAGTGTTTTCAAGGGCCATTTGGTCTTGAATGGTCTACTATCACCGTAGAACCATCCGTTGCATGGGGTTCTGACAAACTCCGACCTTAAAACCTGGACCCTAAACGGTTTAGGGTTCAGGGGTTTAGGGGTTTAGGGTTTCCCAGAGGGTCCAAGTACCCAAATAGTAGGATTTTAGGTGCCCAAATCCACCTGGGTTGTGGAGCCAAGATATAGGTTCCTGAGTAGTACCCTGTTGCACTTGTTCTTTATGGGTTCCTTTTTCAAAACCCAATAGTAGGAACCTCGGATCACACGTCAAGACGTCCTGAGGTGGAGAACCGCCATCCGGAAATTACTCCAAGATCCAAGGGACCCAATAATTAGGGGCTCTAATTAAAGGATAATCCTAAGGGTCCAGGTACTCCTTTTAGGGCGTTCTTGGGTGACAAAAAAACATACATTACGGAGTACCTGGACCATTACGGTAAAGTTCTATATGTGTGCTGCGAAAGGTTTTACCGGGTTCTTACGGGTCCTCAGGACAGGACAATTAGGGTTTAGGGTGTTCGGGTTCGTATACGGGTTCCACTAAGGAGGAGTTCCAATACAAGTGTCCAAATGATCAAACAGTGGGGTACTTGAGCCCGGGATTTTGCAGACTAGTATTCGGGAGGGTACATGATTATCAGGAAGTTGGACCCTCCTTAAGGACCAAATTTACCCTCGAAAGTAAGGGCCCTATACCCTTGTGCGATGAATCTTAGGGTTCATGTAGTCCTCAAGTTAAACACCGCATGAACGTTCAATCCAACAGTCAAACCCAGAAAGGAACCCCAAATCCTTTGAAGGAGCCCTATTAGGGTTGATGTAGTCCTGAAGGCCGAAGGCCTAAGGTAAGTTCGAACTTGACAAGCTGGCCGCAGGACCTGTTTGCGTCAATGACGGCGGCAAAGCAGGCGGTTTAGGGTTTGGGGGTGTAGGGTTTAGCATCCGATTTGAATCTCTCTGGCGGCTTAATTCCAAAAGTTATGCGTCCGGGACAGCAGCGGGCATAGGCCGTTTATGTGTGATTGCCAGGTAAACCCTGAATCCCGAAGCCTGCGCAGATAAGATCTTTTGTTTGCTTCGGACCTTGCTATCCCAAAAATCTAAACTCTACGTTCGGATTTACCTTAAACCTTCCTAGAGGGTCCATACACACTACCATTATGGAATTAGGTCGTCTTTCAGGGCCTAATTCCACAACAGTAAAGTATATGGACCCTCTGGGCTTATTTCTCATCCTCAATCCCTACCCTAAGGCTCCTGGACCCTGGGGCGAGGTCCCAAACCCCAGCCCCCAAAGCCGAAACCCTCCTCCAGAAGGCCCAAGACCCTGTTTGGAGCCTTAGGGTAATCCCTAAATCCGTAAACCTTATATATACCCTAAACCCTATATAAACCCTAATTTTACCCTAAACCCTTATAGATCCCTTTAAACCCTTTGGGGGGTTTAAGGTTTAGGGTCCAGAGCTCAGGATGTAGGCAGCTTTCTGTTGCTTCTTGGCGGCCAGGACCCGCATGCAGATGCCTCCATCGTCAACGCTCTACAGCTGCAGCTTTATGTGGGTTCCGAGGTCTGAAGCTTGCGGTTTGGCCTAAACAAGCCCTAAACCCCGATCCCCTTTAGGGTTTAGGGTTTAGGATTTAGGGTTTAGGGTTTAGGGTTTAGGGTTTAGGGTTTAGGATTTAGGGTTTAGGGTTTAGGGTTTAGGGTTTAGGGTTTAGGGTTTAGGGTTTAGGGTTTAGGATTTAGGGTTTAGGGTTTAGGGTTTAGGGTTTAGGGTTTAGGGTTGTCCAAGATGTTTCAGTTTAAGCTTTCGGGCTCCAGGATTCCACTCTGGACCCTAAACCTTAAACCCCCCAAAGGGTTTAAAGGGATCTATAAGGGTTTAGGGTAAAATTAGGGTTTATATAGGGTTTAGGGTATATATAAGGTTTACGGATTTAGGGACTACCCTAAGTCTCCAAACAGGGTCTTGGGCCTTCTGGAGGAGGGTTTCGGCTTTGGGGGCTAGGGTTTGGGACCTCACTCCAAGGGTCCAGGAGCCGTAGGGTACAAGCAACACCAACCGTACAAACCATATCAACCCTATAAGCCCTTAACCCAGGTGTGGGGGTTTGGGCGTTAATCTTGTTAACCAACACCGTAAGGACGAAGTAAACCGCAAAAAGGTTTAAGGTTCATATAATTATTGTGAAACATACACAGGTTCATAGTACAGCGGGGCAAGACCCCTACACACCCTTACTTTCCAGGGTCATGTGGTCCTCAGGGGTCTACTATCACCATAGAACCGTCCATTGTGGAGTTTGAGGCGTGCTCCTCAATTCATGTCGTTTTGGCAAACTCCGAGTTTAAATCCTAGACCCTTCACTCTTCGCCCTGCACCCTGAACCCCAAAAATCTCTACCCCCCAACCCGTAAACCCAAAGCCTCACAGCCTACCCCCAGTTTAAGGCTAGATGGCCCAGGTCACGGGCAGTAATTCGGTGAATGTCTTCTTGGGCATTGGCTTGCCCTGGCTATTGGCCTCCTTCTATTGGTACATGCAGGCGCCGATCCCTTGAAAGGGTTTAGGGTTCTAGGGCCTAGGGTTTAGGGATTAGTGTTTCGGGTTCCGGGTTTCCTAAAGGGGTTTAGAGTTTTAGGGTTTAGGGTTTGAGGGACTTTAGGGTTTTGGGTTTTGGGGTTTAGAAGTTTATCCTTCTATTGGTACATGCAGGCCGATGTTATCCCTGAGGGCCCCACAGGAGCCAAAAATTAGGTACTTGGGTTTCGGATGGTAGTTGTGCAGGTTTTTTTATTTGGGAGTTTGGGAGAGCATAAGAGCTAGGATGCCAAGTAGTGCCCTTATTCCCTTTTTGCAGTCCTAGGTTCCTTATAAAGTTACCCAATACCAAAAAGAGAGGCTTTTTAATTCTTAGGTTACTGGGTATCCTAGAGAGTATTGGCTAAATGGACCCTTAGTGTGTGGGTGACGGACTGGCTTACCAGGCCTAGGAGCCTACAACTCGAGCTGGTTTAGGTTTCCCTAAGGCTCCATGTGCCCTTATAGTAGATACTTAGGCCTTAAAGTACCTATATAGGGACTACTTTGGGGCTTAAGTATCTACTATAAGGGTACATGGAGCCTTAGGGTTTTGCATGCCGGGGGATGACCTTAGATAGGGCTCCGAGTCTCCAAGGATTAAAAGGAGGGACCCTTAATAAGGACCCCTAGGTTTATGCCCTTAATTTAGCTATTATATACCCATTATATAGCCAATTACAGGGTAGGGGTCCCCATCAAGGGTCCCTCCTTTTCCCCTCTGAAAGGGGTTAACTAGCGCTTGAGGGCTGGAGGGTTTCAGCGGCCAGGGTAGGGGTTAGGGTCTTGGCAGTGGGGTTTAGGACTGTCTTTGTTGTTCGTTTAGTTCTTGGTGGTTTAGGGTTATCCTGAACCCTAAATTCCTCGTCGGGATGAATCAAGGAACCCTGAAAAAGTGGTTCTTCAGGGTCCAGGTGCATCTCACTAACCCACAAACCGTGGTTTTCGTCGCAGCTCCTTGTCTCAAACGGGCGACGGACTTGCTGAAAAGGCTTGTTACAGACACTTGTACTTAAATTTCTATTTGCTTAGAACCCCAAAGAGTGCACTTACAACCTTAATTACTTAATTAAGCAGGAAATTCTATCAAGGAGTCTAATTCTGTAGTAGTAGTGTATATCGACCCTCTTGGTATAGAGCACATCAAGGAAACCTAAAATTTACATGTTCCGCTTAATTCCCATAAATAATAATAAAGGCACCCTTGAAGAGCCCCTCATGATGTCCTTCTACGAGCCCATACGGTGCCCTTATAGAAAGCCTTCAAGAATCCTGATGAGGGCTCCTTCTGATTTCCCTTGAAAAACAATCTAGGCCCTCCACCTTGATCCCTAAACCCTATAAACCCTTAAGACTGGACCTACACCCTCACTAACCTATAGAAAAAGGCAAAAAGAGACCCTAAACCCTAAGCCCTATAATCCCTAAACCCTATAAGCTCTAATCCCTATAGTCCCTAATCAGTATAAACCCTACACCCTATAAACCCTAAACCCTAATCTAAGACGCAGGGCACCACCTTTGCGGTGAAGTCGCAGGGGCTGAGCTTCTCGGTGCTGGTCGGGGGCTAAGCCTTCGAAACGGTGTGTCTTGAAAGGATATTTTGGGGCCTAGTTCCATAATGGTACTATATATGGAGCCTCCGGGTTTGTGTACTGCAGGAGTTCAGGGTTTAGGGTCTTAGGGTTTAGGGGGCTGGGGCGATTCAAGGTGCAGGGCGGGGGGGGGGGGTTCGGGATTAGGTGCTACGGTTTCGGCGTGTTTGGCAAACCACGATGATTTTGTTTTTTTGGGGGGTTCAGGATTTTAAGCCTGTTGTTGTAGTTGGAGAGTTAGGAGGATGGTCTTATTGGGCCTCGGTTTGTATGTGGAGGACAATACCCTAGGGATCAACATACCCCAAAAGCTTGATATAGTATGCACTTTTCGCCCAAAAGCCTTAGTATATGAGTCCGTAGATCACTAGGGATATGCTTACTAGTTGCTTGGCTTCAGGCTTCTCTTGCAGAGTGTCGATAAGTGGTTATGATGGTTATGATCTTCAAAAACATTCGCTTGGGGCTTTGGAGTTTCGGATTCAGGAGTGTAGGGTTTAGATGAGTTGCTTTGTCTAGGGTTAAACCATGTCAGCTGATGCTTCTAACTTGTCATAGCAAGTCTAGGAGGCCCACTAGTACCCTTATTCCCTTTTTGTAGTCCTAGGTTCCTTATAAAGGTACCCAATACCAACAAGGGAGCCCGTTTTATTTCTTGGTTGCTGGGCATCCTAGAAGTACATTCATGTTTCTCTTTATTTGTAGGACATTGCGTGCCCCTGGTGCCCTTTATCGCCAGACACTTCAGAATTCCGATCCCTCGCCCCTGAAGCAACGTTTTGTCAACACCCTACACCCTGTTCCCAAAGCATTAAACAGTTAAACTGTGTTATCAACACCTTGAATTCTTAGATATTAAGACTTGGGACAACATGACTGTATCTGTATGGCAAGCACTTAGTCATCATGCACGCAAACGAACTGACGGAATGAGCCCTAAAAGGGCTTAAGGTTCATATACCAGATAGGGATCCATATGATAAGGGTATTTCTTGGGGCCCCTGCTGTTTTCGGGTCATTTAGTCCTTACGGAAACGAACCTACAGAACTATCGTGCTAAACCCAAGTACCTTCTTACAATCTGAACTTATACGGTCCTGTTTTAGCCTGGGGGGTAACAAGCCCAGAGGTGTTCACCTGCGGCGCGTGCGTCACGCTGAGCGTGATCCAGCAGCGCGGTTGAAGTTAGCGCTTTAGCGTTTACGGTCTACCTTCACACCAAATAACCTGCCTTAAAAGGGTTCGTATAAGAATATCATAGCAACGAACCCAAAAGGTAGGACTTCAAGGGTCAGGTTGGGTTTAGGAGTTAGGGCTCAACGGTTATATGGTTTAGGGTGTAAAGTCTCAGAAAGGTGCACTGTGGGGCCCCGATTTTTGCACACAGAATGTGAGGTTTGGGGTTTAGGGGCTCCAGTTCAGCGCATGTGGAGATTTGGGAGATCTGTAGTATGGCTTGGTGTTAGTACCCTTAGCTCTTACAAAAAAATGAGCCCTAAGACCCTAAGCCCTAAACACCCTAATCCCCAAGAGGTCGCGTTAGAGAACTAAGGCCTACTTGGAGGGGCAGGTGACGTACTGTAGTAAGTAGGTTATAAGTAGAGTTTTGAGTACCCTAAATGGAGTTACCCCAATTATAACCCTACTTATAACCTACTTACTAGGTCCCAAGCAGGGATTCACTGTTTACTTCGGGTCGGACGATGCAGTGACTTGCTGTTCTTGGTGCTTGAAAGGAACCTTGCAAGGCATCCCTGAACCCTATCCATACGGTTGATGATATAAATCCTGCATGACCCATAATAAGGAATATACCATAATTCCCATAGTTTAGGGTCCTTAAGGTAATGCAGGATTTATATCATCAACCGTATTAAACCCCAAGACCCTAAACCCTCAACCCTTAAACCCTGCAAACCCTACCTAGACCCCCCAACTGCCCTCTAGTATACCATACCTTGGGTACGGCCCCCACTCAGTAATAGTTGAATAATATTCATAATATAGATATAGTAGGACCTTAGTAGTAGCACTATTATAGACTCTTACTGTATGGGGGGGCCGTACCTAAACCATACCCCAAATACCCACTATGAAGGACCGTCAGGCCTCCTTTTGGGGGGTCCTGGATCCCTTAAGGGACCCTTATAAGCCCTATATCCCATACCCTAAACCCAATACTAAGCAGGGTCGTAGTTTAGGCTCCGAAAGGGGTCATGAGAGTTCTGGGGTAAGGGTTTGGGCTCTGGGGGCTAGGGTCTGGGATCTCACTTCGAGGGTCCAGGAGCCTCAGGGTAAAGACCAGATGTACCCTAAAAGGGTTTAAGTTTCAAGTTTCATCTACCCTAACAGGGTTTAAGTTTCATCTACCATATGGGAAAGAAATCATAGTAATCATAGTATACGGGTATGGTGTCTCTACCTTTCAGGTCATGTGGTCCTTACGGAAGTGCCCTAAGTGGGGAATCCAAACCCTATCTTCACTTATAGCCTTACATACTAAGTCTCGTACTAAGTCCCACGAAGCCCAAGAAGTATGCCCTAAACCCTAAACGTGCTGGAGCTTCTAGATTCCTCGGAGGAATCCTTTGAGTAATTTAGTCCCTTGGGCTTTTAAGCATGTAAAAAGTATACCCAAACCCCCTATACCCAGAACTTCAAAAATCCCTTAATGCAGGTATATAGCTTAAATAGTATTAGGGATCCTATTCCAATTTAAGGTATTTTCGTTAATTAAGGGATTTGGAAGGTCTGGGCCCCTACTTGGAGGGTCGGGGGACTTAGTAACTGGCTATTTTAAGGACTTATAAGTACCATAACCCCAATTAGGGTTCCGTTTAGGGTACTTATAAGTCTACTTCCTACCTACTTACTAAGTCCCCGGACCCTCCAAGTAGACCCTAAACCCTGAACCCCATAGATCCCTTTTAAGGAACCCTATTAGTCCCTTTAAGGAGCCCTTACTAAGTCCCCCGACCCTCCAAGTATAGATCCCTTCAAGCAACTAAGTATGCCAAACCCCGTATAGACCCTAAACCCCTAAACCCTAAACCCTAACCCCTGAACCCTAAACCCTAAACCTCTCTTTCAAATGTATATTTAAAGGTTAATGGCCTTAGTGGTTTTTGTTGCGAGAACGTCCCTGGGCAAGCAAAATCGCAACAAAAACCACTAATTTGGCAGTGCTTTCCGGCCTGAACCCTGCCAAATTAGCGACTTTTGTTGCGAGGGGCCTGCACGACTTCCCTGCGCAACAAAAACCACTAATTTGGCAGTGCTTTCGGCCTGAACCCTGCCAAATTAGCGACTTTTGTTGCGAGGGGCCTGCGCGGCCGCCCTGCGCAACAAAAACCACTAATTTGGCAGTGCTTTCCGGCCTGAACCCTGCCAAATTAGCGACTTTTGTTGCGAGGGGCGGGTGCGACCGCCCGGCGCAACAAAAACCGCTGCGCGACCGCCCTGCGCAACAAAAACTACTAATTTGGCAGTGTTTTCCGGCCTGAACCCTGCCAAATTAGCGACTTTTGTTGCGAGGGGCCTGCGCGACCGCCCTGCGCAACAAAAACCACTAATGTGGCAGTGCTTTCCGACCTGAACCTTGCCAAATTAGCGACTTTTGTTGCGAGGGGCCTGTGCGACCGCCCTGCGCAACAAAAACCACTAATTTGGCAGTGCTTTCCGGCTTGAACCCTGCCAAATTAGCGACTTTTGTTGCGAGGGGCCTGCGCGACCGCCCTGCGCAACAAAAACCACTAATTTGGCAGTGCTTTCCGGCCTGAACCCTGCCAAATTAGCGAGTTTTGTTGCGCAGGGCGGTCGCGCGGGCCCCTCGCAACAAAAATCGCTAATTTGGCAGTGATTTCCGGCCAGTAACGATTTTTGTTGGGATGTGGCGTGCGCAACGAGTTTTAGAGTATAGTAGTGGCTTCTAGGGTTTAGGGCATATTTGGTTGGCGTTTAGGCTTTAGGAAGAAATTGTATATTTCCTAATGTTTTGGGATTCTTTGGGCGGGTGGGTGTTTTACTACTACACTGCTGGCCTAGTGATTTCTTAGCCCAGCTAATCGTAAACCCCTAAACCCTAAACCCTAAACCCAAACCCCTGAACCTTACTTGGAAGGGCAGGGGACTTAGTAAGTAGGTTATAAGTAGAGTTATAAGTACCCTAAATGGAGTTACCCCAATTATAACCCTACTTATAACCTACTTACTAAGTCCCCTGCCCTTCCAAGTAAACCCTAAACCCTAAACCCTAAACCCTAAACCCTAAACCCTAAACCCCTAAACCCTAAACCCTAAACCCTAAACCCTAAACCCTATAGATCCCTTTAAGCAATGCTCCGAGGATCCGACGTTGGAAGGTCGGAGGAGAGCTTGGTGGTCCTGTGGACACTCTGCTGGGTATCTTAAAGGGATCTATAAGGGTTCTATAAAAGGGTTTAGGGTTTCCGAAAATTAGGGCCTAGGATGCCCAGTACTACCCGTATCCCCTTTTTTGTAGTCCTAGGTTCCTTACAAAGTTACCCAATACCAAAAAGGGGGCCGTTTTTATTCCCAGGCTACTGGGCATCCCAGATAAGAGGGTTTAGGGATCGGGTGTTCTGGGTTTAGGGGTTTATAGGGTTTTGGGGTGCAGGAATCAGGGTTTCCAGAAAGTCGGGTTTAGGATGATTTGTGCTAGAATCCCCTCTGCTTTACCTTAAGGGCACGAGGGTCATGATGTTCCGACTTTCTGGCTTCTGCTTTAAGATCCTTAGAGGTTCCCGTACTTGGAGGATCAGGGGACTTAGTACATAAGGTTGTAAGTACCCTAATTGGTGTTATAAGTACTTAAAAGTATAGTTACTTCACTTATATCCCTAGTTACTAAGTCCCATGATCCTTTAAGTAATGGTTCTATCCGCGGAGTGCCACCATAAGGGAGTGTTTAAGGTTAGGGTGTATAGGGATTACGATGTGAGGGTTCTGTGCTACATCACATATACTCAGGGGAGTACCAGAGGTTCCTATCAGGGTTCCTTTCCGGAACTGAGGGCTTCTTTACGGAGTACCACCACGAGGTTCTTTAGGTTCAGGGTGTTTAGGGTTAGGGGGTTAGGTTTTAGGATTTTGGGATTTAGGGTTTAGGGGAGTAACCCTTAACTTATTGTCGGAAGCATGATAAGGTTTATGGTACATTCCTTGATTGAGGGCTTTTGGAGTTTCTGGAGTGGGAGTGCACCATGATTTACGGTGTAGCGGTTCTAAAAAGGGTTTTGATCAGGGTTATGCTAAGGGTTTTATGGGGTTTACAGGTGTCGTTTGGGATTACTATCAGGGTTTGCATTCACGGAGGCCTAAGTGATTGAATATGGTTTGCGTAAAAGGTTCCTGTATAACCTAGACACTTAAGTCTTGACCCGGAACCCTAAGCCCTGAGCTTTTGTGGTGTGTACTACAAGAGCCTGGGTAATTAATCACATACATTTTGGGGGGCTCCTTGTTACGATTAGAGTAGAATACTCGATCACCCTGTTCTAGTGATTAAGGCCCCTAGATGGCTATAAGCATCTAGGGTTGAGGGTGGTGGGTCGGAACTGAAGGAAAGCAAATATGTGCGTGGGGCTTACGACGGGTTCAAAATATTGATTCCTTACAGGGATCCTTTATAGCCTACAGCAGAAGCCTGAAAGTTGGAAACCCGATAGCCTCAATCCTTAAAAGAGCAAAGTATAGGGAATCCCAGCACGATTTGTCCAACATTAGGTTTCCAACTTTTTGGGGGTTTACAATCAACCCTCAGCCCTTGATTCTAAACCCTGAGCCCTCAGCTTGAACTCCTAAGGTATGCAAGGGAATGCAGGGGCCTGAATATTTACCTGTACTATTTTGGGGGGGTCGCAGCTGAAGGAGAGCAAAGGTGAGTACTTGAAGGGTCGGACGACGTAGTAAGTAAGTAATAAGTAGAGTTGCCTTAAGTAGGATCTTATAACTTTGTAAAATATCTACTTACGATGTCCGCCGACCCTCCATTATAGAACCCGTATAGATCCATTTAAGGATCCCTTTTAGGAGCCCTTTCAGGGTCCCTGCCTACTAAGTGGTGGTTACGAAGGGTTTAGGGTTCAAGAGTCAATCCCGATTTTCGGCTCCTCGGTTTGGGGATATCAGGATTCAATTCGGGTCTAGGGTGTCGGGTTTACGGTGTAGCTGGGTTTAAATAGGGTTTCGGGTCTAGGGTGTAGGGTTTAGGGGTTAGGGTGTAGGGGTTCAGGGCTCGAGGGCTTTGGTTTGCTTCGTACTAGGGTAGGCAACCTTTACTTCTTTTGGGTGCATAATGTTGCCGATGCAGTTCCGAGGGTTATCCTTTAGCTCCCTTAAGATACTGGAGTAAGGGCTACCTGTAGCCGACGAGACCTACTTTTTTAGGATTCTTCATTTTGGCTTATATATATATATATATAGAGAGAGAGAGAGAGAGAGAGAGAGAGAGAGAGAGAGAGAGAGAGAGAGAGAGCGAGAGAGAGAGAGAGTTTCTCAGGACGGTAGGTCTTATGTAGTGTGGTTTTTGGGCCAAAAGCCCTAATATTTTTCAGTCCTTAGACCCCCGCGGGTAGAGTTCAGGGTTCAGGGGTCAAGCATCTGATGGGTTTTTGCTATAAGGAGCTCCTGGTTTGAGTTTAGGGTATAGGGTTTGGGGTTTAGTTGAGTTGGTGCTACCACCACTGTGGACCCAGTGGCCGAGGTTGCAGGGCCAAACGAAGCGAAGGTGCAGGGGCCGCATGGGCACTTCGCAACAGTCGCCATTGGCTTCGTGGTCGTCCTTTTGCATGTAATTCGGGTCAAACGGCGCCGAATTCGTGCCTTCTTCGGCCGCCATTGTACAGGACTGGCGGCGGGACCTCGGAAGAGGCACACAGTCCGGAGATGCCATGGGCGTGGACCTCATCCTACTCATGGCGACCAGTGAAGGGTAGGTGCTAGCACAGGATGGGGTTTGAGTGGAGGGCCTTAGCAGGGTTTAGGGTTTAGGATCTAGGGCTCAGGGTTTAGGGTTTTGGGTTTTAGGGCTTGGGGTTTAGGGTAACGACTGAAGACCCAAGCAAGGGCATAGTAGGAACTGTGAGTTTGAAGTACAATGGAACTCCCGTATACACCACGGTATATACTGCATACAGCATGGGTAGTGGACCCTAAACCCTAAACCATAATTCTTTGTGTACATGTTTCGCGGCTCCGAGAGGGCATAAATTATGGATGGCCTCGGACCTTTCTGCCTCGGAACACTAGGAAACAAAGGTAGCCTAGGGTTCCAGGCAGTTCCTTAAAGGGGTTTATGGAGGTTGCTTGAACGGGATCCATAGGGGTTCCTTTAAAGGGATCCTTTAGGGTTTAGGGTTTAGGTTTTCAAGCCTCATTTTGAAGGGGTTTGCTTCTAAACTGCTTCCAAAGCCCGCAAACAACCTGATTACACTTTGCAAACACTCCGTACCCCCTGAAAGGTCTACCGAACCCAGAGACTCCAGCCCTAAATTATAGGGTGGGTCCACATTGCAATAAACCCTAACCCCCATACCCCCTAAACCGTCAAGCCCTACACTCTACAGACCCCGCAACTGAACTCTTAAAGGTACCGACCCAAATAAAGGCGTGTTGTGATTTCTGGAAGCCATGTCCAATCTCAGGGCACTTAGGTCCCCCATTTAGACAGGGACCTTAATTTAGAGAACTACCCATATTGTGCACCCTTAATAAGGACCCCTAGGTACATACCCTTAATCTAGCTATGATGTACCTATTATATAGCCCATTATAGGGTAGGGGTCACCATTAAGGGTCCCTCCTTTCCCCTTTGAGAGGAGAATGATGTTTCAACTTGCTGGCTTCTACACCCTAAACCCTAAACCCCTAAACCCTAAACCCTAAACCCTAAACCCCTAAACCCTAAACCCTAAACCCCTAAACCCTAAACCCTAAACCCTAACCCCTAAACCCTAAACCCTAAACCCTAAACCCTAAACCCCTAAACCCTAAACCCCTAAACCCTAAACCCCTAAACCCTAAACCCCTAAACCCTAAACCGGGTACCTGGAGCCTCTGGGTATGAGCCATGCTCCCGATCTGAGGACACCAAGGCGTACTCGTCCTTCCTGCCACCTGGCGCGCGAGCGTTCGACGGGTTGATGATCTAAATCCTGGGGTTCCTTTAAAAGGATCTATAGGGGTACCTCTAAGGGGTTCCTTTATATAAAGGGATCTATAGGGGTTCCTTTAAGGCGTTCCTTTAAAGGGATCTATGGGTGATATATATATATATATATATATATACATACGTACATATGGGTGGTTGTCAAAATTGGAGTCCCTTCTTGGGTCGTTATGATAATACGGCACCTAATATTCAGGGTACCCAAAAAGGGACCATAGTTTTGACAACTACCCATATCTATAAACATATCCTGGGGTTCCTTTAAAAGGGATCTATAGGGATACCTTTAAGGGGTTCCTTATTTATCCAGTAAGGCTACCCTGCATTACGTTCCTCGAGCCAAGAATATTGAGGTTTTTAAAAGAGAGCGAGGGGCACGCAGTATTGAGGGGTCCTTGGAGTCCTTGTGATGTCGATCTGACTGCTCCTACTACAGGGAATGTAAATCCCCCACATTACCTTAATGGTCCTAGACTACGGGAATTATGACATAATGAGTAAACCATAAAGTCTCAAAGAGCCCCTTTAAAGGATCCCTTCTTTTTAAGGCTCCCCCCACACCTTAAACCCCTATATACTGTAAACCCCTAAATCCTTAAACCCTAAACCCGCCAACCCCAAACCCTATAGATCCCTTAAAGGAACCCTTAAAGGCACCCCTAAGCCCTACCTGGACCCTAAGGAACCTCCCATTTAAGGCCTTGTATAAGGAAATCATCATAAGCAACCCTGAAAAGATAGGTTCCTTAGTCTCGGGTCCCCAAACCCTACAAACCCTAAGCCTTAAACCCCAAACCCTACAAGGCCCTACACCCTAAAACCACCGCAAAATCTCAATATTTCAAACTCGAGGCTCGTCGTGCTGTGGCTCTCCTACATCGGCCTCTCTGCCCGGCGGCCCAAGGATGCGTTCAGCGGAACCCTTTAAGAGCCCTTGAAGGAAACCTTCGAGGAACCCTTAAAGATGCCTTTAAGGAACCCTTAAAGAGCCCTTAAAGGAACCCCCGAGAAGTTCCTAGAAGCTTAAGGAATACGGATTTGGGCTAAGGGTGTGACGAATTTGAGAACTCTGCAAGACGGGCCCCAAGTGAGTTCATCACGGTGCAGTACAGTCCCCGCTTGTGCACATGTGACCCCGTCTGCACAGAAGCCTGCTCACCCGTTGGGTCCCTGGATCCTTCATAGTAGACGCTGTATCATGGAAGCGTTATGCCCTATAGCTTCCCTGATTGCTAGGTCCGCTGATCCTGTCCAACGGATGTTCTGCCTCGAGTATAGCCACTACTCCGAACTAAGGACCTGTAAATGCTACTGTTCAAGCTACCTTTTTTGTCATTCCTGGCCCTTACAGGCACCCTTAAAGGAACCTTCAGAGGCGCCCTTAAAGGCACCTTTCAGGCAACCCAAAAAGGTACCCCCAAAGGAAGCCTTAAAGGCATCTTCAAGGGAAGGGAACCCTTAGAGGCATCCTTGCAGGAACTGGCACCAGCTACTATACCCAGACCCCCGGATCTAGAACGTAGATCCCCTAATTTGGGGCCCTATACTACTAAGGGTACTTTATAGGAACCCCCATTAAGGGCTCTACTTTTTGGATCCTTTCGGGGGTCTGGGTAGAGGCCATTAGAACAGGGGTTGGAGTATATTTTACAATAATTACAATAAGGGACCCCCTATTCCAATTATTCAGGCCCCTATAGTAAATCCTAAGAGTAATCCTTACAAACCCCTTCGAATACCCCTTAAATTAAAGCCTTGGAGGAACTCCTAGTCTAATTATTAAAGCCCCCAACTCCTCCCCCAAACCCTAAACCCTCAAAGTAGCCCTTATAGAACCCTTCCAGGGGCCCTTCAAGGGGAATCCGCAAAAACTTATGAAGGCCCCTATGGTAGAAGCCAGAAAGTTGGAACATTAGTGTCCTCAGGGCCCTAAAGTAAAGTATAAGAGATCCTAGCACTAATCCTCCTAAACCCATGTTCCAACTTTCTGGCTTCTACTGTACATTAGCCTTACATACGTCGAGGTGTGGAAGTACCAGAACATCGATGCCCCGCTTACGCAGGACAGCTCCATAGGTATGCAAGCATTAGGGACCCAAGAAGCCTGGGTTCCTGAGTGAGAGTTCCTTCCCAGACCTTCCAAAACCCCTTAATTACGGAATATACCTTAAATTATAGTAGGATCCTTAGTTGGATTTAAGGCATATTCCTTAATCAAGGGATTTTGGAAGGTCTGGGTTAAAGGGTTCCTTAAAGGGTTCCTTAAAGGGTTCTATAAGGGATCCTTAACTGGCTCTAAAAGGGATCTATATTCCTAGGTTCCTGAGTAGTGCCCTTTTGCCCTTTTTAGTTTAGGGTCCCCTTATTAAAACCGAATAGTAGGAAAAAAGGGTACACTTATTATCAAGGGGTTACTCAGAAACCTAGATTCGTTCAGGGTCTACTTAGTTTCCAGGACTTATAAGTACCATAACCCCAGTTAGGGTCCCTTTTTCGGGTACTTATAAGTCTACTTACTACCTACTTACTGAGTCCCCCGACCCTCCAAGTAGGTTCCTGAGTAGTACCTTTGGCCTCCCCTTATTACAACCCAATATTAGGAAAAAGGGTGCCCTTATTTTAAAGGGGCTACGCAGGAACCTAGATTTGGGCCCTTCCAAGAACAGGGATATCCCTGCCCTCTTGGGCTTCATTCTTACCCTAAGGCTCCTGGACCCTCGTAGTGAGATCCCAAACCTTAGCCCCCAGAGCCCAAACCCTCCCCAGACGGCCCGCGACCCCTTTGGGAGCCTTAGGGTAGGGTGTTTTGTTTATGAGATATCCCTACTTAGAGGATCATGGGACTTAGTAAGTAGGTTATAATTGGGGTTATAAGTCCCCTAAGTGGGGTTATCCTAATTATAACCTACTTATAACCTTAGTTACTAAGTCCCATGAGCCTTCAAGTATCCTAAGGTTGGCTTAAGTGCTTTCTTGGGGCTCTAAACCAAGCGTAGCAGGCTCAGGGCTTTTATGAAGATTGAGGGTTGAGGGTTCAGGGTCTCTTGAGGATAAAGTAAAAGCCAGAAAGTTGGAATATCATTATCCTAATCCCTTCAAGGTAAAATATAGGGGATCCTGCCATTATTCCATATTCCAACTTTCTGGAGTTCCCTTTAGGGAGAGACGGTTCAAAGAGGGAGCTTCGTGTTTTGGCAGCAAGCACTTTAAATCCCGGGAGTTCATGCACTCTAAGGGTCCACGTACCCAACGCCGGAGCACCGACCACTTCTCGTACGCCGCTGCCCAGACAGAGGCGTTCAGTTGAAACGCCGACGCCGGCTCCGACACGGCATCGACAGCTCCTACAACGACCGCCACTGAAGCCAGCAGCATCGTTGTGAGCGAGTTTTCCCATGGTGTACTCATCAGACTGGTCTCCGAGCTCGCAGTCCCCAGGGAGGCCTTGGTCCGTGCCCATCACCGCATTCCAAACGCTCCAGGGCTTCAGCTGTTGCTTCCACTGCTCGTGAGCCCCTCACCGAAACAAGTGCCGCACCCAGACAAAGAAGATCAAGACGAAGAACCGTGCCATCTCCAGGTGGGCGAGAGCAAGATTCAACCATCGGCGAAACCTAGACCAAGGCCACGACCACCTCAGGAGGACGCCGCGGCCAGCATCACTGCGGAGCCGCCTGAGTTGCTGCATCAAGCATTAATGTATTGGGCCTAACGTATATACTATTTGGGTACATGGACCCCAAGGGGCACAGCTTCTTGGAGCATTGGGGAACTCGTTCTGGGGGTTCAGATCTTAAGGTTTCGATTTCACTCAGCTTGAGGTTTAGTGCTACGGTTGATGATATAAATCCTGCATTACCTTAAGGACCCTAAACGAGGGGAATTATGGTATATTCCCTACTATGGGTCATGCAGGATTTATATCATCAACCGTAGGGGTTAGGGCGCTGGGGCTCTAGGGTTTACGGGGTTTGCGGCTTTAGGGCTTACCTGTAGCCAAGATCGCGAGGGGCTTCCTAGTTGCGATAGGGTTTGGAGATATAGTGAACTTGGGTATACGGAGACTGCACGGGATATTATCAGTAGTTCTCCGGATCTTGCAGTAGTAGGTTATGACCCTTTGAATACACGGTTCTGGTGTCAACCGATACTCAGGGCATAATCATAATTGAAGCCAAAACATAGACAGATTCCAGCAAGAGTTTGGAAGTCTCTCGACTTACAGCTTTCGGGATGAGGGCTTTGATAGTCAGCATCTTGCATGACTCATTACAAGCTATATACCGCAACTCGGATAGTCTGGGCCGGCTGTTATACCCAGCGGCTGTAGTTATTCACTCCCAGAGCGATCACGACATGCTCTGATCGCCGAAGCAGACTCCCGACGAAAATACACGAGTGCTCACTGGTCTGCATCATTCAGAAAAATTCTGATTCCTCTCTCTTGCAGAACATGCAAGGATGCCAAGATGATACCTACGGAAGTAGCGACGCCTGTCACAGAGACCTAGAGGCAGAATTACGGGGAGAGAGCATAAGTGTTGTTGCAGCATAACTAGCAGCTATGCGCGCCAGCTTCAAACTCTATGTGGGTTATGAGGCTACTCCGGGAAGTCGCCACTCTGAGTGCTCGGCATCTCCACTTATTTTGGCTTCCGAGTCCTGAGTGGGCCAAGAAACAGTGCTTGGAAGGGCAGGGGACTTAGTACGTCGGTTACTAGTAGAGTTAGAAGTACCCTAAATGGAGTTACCCAAGTTATAACCCTAGTTCTAACCTACTTACTAAGTCCCCTGCCCCTCCAAGTGGCTGTGCTTGCTGCGCTCCGCCCCTATGTCCCTTCGTCCATTTGCAAACGTGACCTCCACCCATACTACCGCCGCTCCAACCGCACCAGCCTTATATACAACCCATTCACAGACAGGGCCTGTTCACCCTTACAGAGCCCTTCTAAGAACCTATGACAAACAATGACTTGCACAGGAGCCCAAGATCTCTAAACCCTAAAGCGAATGTTTGTTACAGTAAGGCGCCCTTCGCATTTGAACTCTCCTACCCTAAACGCTAAACCTCTCGCATTCTAAACCATCCAAGAAGCGGAGTTGGAGATTTGTGGTTTGCACTGGGCGTCGATATTCAGGGCTTTGGTATCGAGTTGCAAGGCCTCACATGCGGGTGTGGGCTCTAATTACAAGGTTTAGGGTTTTATGTTTAAGGTTTTTTGACTTAGGCAGGCTGTATCGGGAATTTTGAGGTCTGAAATAGCGTTTCATACGGCATTGGCACACAACAATCTCACAACCTACATAGGTCCGTATACGGCGAGTGTCGGACACTGATCGGTGTGGCCTTTTAGCGTGTTTTTGTTCTAGGGTTCTGCTTCTTCTAGTGTGCACATAGGGTCTGGGGTGCAGGTTTTGGGAAATGGGGTTGATATAGGCTGTAGAGCGTCAGGTTACCACGTTTGGCGAAGTCAACCTACCGGAGCCCATCATATCCCCAAGCCCTAAGCCCTAAATCCCCAAACCTTTGACCCTAACGGTGCTAAGTCCCATTCGTCCTCGCAGGATCTGATGATGCTCGGGCTGACCATCCCCCTTGTCGGGGACCTAACATCCTGAGTCACTGCCATATTGTAAGGATTATGGTTTAGCGGGCGTCCGAACAAAGGAGTCGCAAGCTTTGGAAACTCATATCGAAACATGATATGTGCAAGTGGGATTCATGGAGGGAACCCTCGGCAAGACATGAACCAAGATGAACCACATCCCCTTACGTGGCAAAGCCCTTTCACTTAGCACTGCTTGTCGCGGCTGCTCTCCATATAATTCTCCTACACTGTGCCCCCAAAGCCCCAGTCGGACCCGCATCCCGTGTTCTGCAACCCTTCTTGTAGCACTACTTAAAAAAACAGGGGCGAAGGGAGCGACAGCTGGATGCCTTTGTCAGCATCCTTTGCTTTTATTGTCAAAGTTAGGGTCCCCTTTTTGGGTACCCTAGGTGCCGTACTATATTAGGGGCCCAAAAAGGGACCATAATTTTGACAACCACCCATATGGGAGCAGCTGTCGTGGTTCATACCTTGGCCTGATTAAGAAACCTGGGGTCTTTATTAGGATTAAGGCCCTCCATATGGATCCGAATATTTTCGGTTGTAGGAACAGGGCTTTAGATCAGGTTTCGACATCTGGGTTTTTGGGCTGTCCTCAACATGGGAGGGATGTTTTTGTCTTGAAATGTTACTAGCAGGTCTTGGTCTTGGGCTTGTGGAGTGCAAGCATTTAAGAAATGCCTGTGATTAGGAGTTCGGGCGAAAAAAGCACGGGTCTGAGGGCCTTGTCAGGGGATTAGGGTTTAGGGCTTGGGGATCATGATTATGTCGTCAGACGAGCGAAAGGTGCAAAGCCTTAAACACCATCTAACCCAGATGAGCATCGAGCCCTAAACCCGAACCCTAAACCTGGAAAACCTTCCTTTGCAGGGTTCCTTATTATGATTTCCTTACAGAAGTTCTGAAAAATTTAGGTTATTCAGGGTGAAGGAAAGCCTACCTGTAGCCGGAAAGACCTACCTTTTTAGGGTCCCTTATTATGGTTTCTCTCTCTCTCTCTCTATATATATATATATAGTTCCTTAAAAAAGTAGGTCTTTCCGGCTACAGGTAAACCCTAAACCTTGAACCCGAGAGCCTCCATACCAACCTTAAACCCACCCTAAGGCTCCTGGACCCTCGTAGTGAGATCTCAAACCTTAGCCCCCAAAGCCCAAACCGTCCCGCAGAAAGCCCATGACCCCTTTGGGAGCCTTAGGGTAGTCCCTAAAGCCCTAAAGCCTACATATACCCTAAACCCTATATAAGCCCTAATTAAACCCTAAGCCCTTATAGATCCCTTTAAAGGACCCCTTTGGGAGCCTTAGGGCAAACCCTAGCTGAAGCTCTTGGCCCTGGAGCACTCAACCCGAACTTAAACTGTACTTGGAGGCCAGGGGACTTAGTAAGTAGGTTATAAGTAAGGTTATAATTGGGGTAACTCCATTTAGGGTACTTATAGCTGTACTTATAACCGACGTACTAAGTCCACTGCCCTTCCAAGTAGACCCTACCTTAACCCTGAATAACCTACCTTTTTAAGGACGTATATAAGGAAATCATAATAAGGAACCCTAAACAGGTAGGTTACTCAGGGTTAAGGTAAGTGCTAAGCCCTCAGTTAATCTCTAGAACCTAGGGAGATTATGACGGAGCCTTAATACTGCTTAGGTTTTCGGGTTTCAGGGAGAACAGGGTTCCGTAGAATTCCTGAATCACACTGGATGTGTCACCGTATAGGGTCGGGATGCTTGCCAATACAATGCCCTTTCAGTCTCTGTGTAAGCAGCGTTTGATTTCTGAGCTGACGACATGAATCCTGAACCCAAAATCATAAACCCAACACGAGATTAGGGTTTAGGGTTTACCCTAATGCTCCTGGACCCTCGAAGTGAGATCCCAAACCTTAGCCCCCAAAGCCCAAAACCCTTCCCCCAGAAAGCCCATGACCCCTTTCGGAGCCTTAGGGTAATTGGTATTGAGGCTTCCGGATTACGCCTTAGAACACAAGAGCCGGAAATTCCGAGTCATCTACATGATCGGCTTTGTGGTGCCCGAAGGGTACTTGAAGGCTCATGGGACTTTGTAAGTCAGGTTATAAGTAGGTGATAATTGGGGTAACCCCAGTTAGGGGACTTATAACCCCAATTATAACCTACTTACTAAGTCCCATGATCCTCTAAGGAACAAGAAGCAGCCGGAACTAAATGCATCAAGGTCGGGGTCGTTATGATGATTTTTGCCGCCATCCGATTCCTGCTCAAGCTGTCCAAGGCCAATCTCTGACTTGAGTGTTTGGGGCATTCAGCTTTTCACGCCAATCTGGAGCCCGGCACCCTAAAGCCCGCAAGCCCGAAAGCCATGTGCGTGGTTGTAAAAATTAAGGCCCCTTTTTGGGTACCCTAAATAATAAGTGACTATTATAATTGGGACCCAAAACGGGATCTTAATTTTGACAACTACCCATGTATCATACCATTGCTAAAGCCTTGATGAAAATCCTGCCAAGCGGCAAACCTAAACCGCTCTAAACCCTTAAGATGAAACCCGTCTTAACCTTCTAAGCCCTCAGCCCGAAACCATGAAAGGCGGCAAAATGGAGCTTGAAAAGAAGTTCTAAATCCTTAAGATGAAACCCGTCTTAACCTTCTAATTAAGCCCTCAGCCCGAAACCATGAAAGGCGGTAAAATGGAGCTTGAAAAGAAGTTCTAAACCCTTAAGATGAAACCCGTCTTAACCTTCTAATTAAGCCCTCAGCCCGAAACCATGCAAGGCGGTAAAATGGAGCTTGAAAAGAAGTTCTAAATCCTTAAGATGAAACCCGTCTTAACCTTCTAATTAAGCCCTCAGCCCGAAACCATGAAAGGCGGTAAAATGGAGCTTGAAAAGAAGTTCTAAACCCTTAAGATGAAACCCTTCTTAACCTTCTAATTAAGCCCTCAGCCCGAAACCATGAAAGGCGGTAAAATGGAGCTTGAAAAGAAGTTCAAGATAGCCCAAAACCCTTGAATAGTGCCGTCGCCAGCTGCAAGCCTTGAATCAACCGTAAACGGGCTTAGGGGTGTTTTAAACCCCAAACCCCAATGACTTGCGCAGGAGTACATCGGCGAGGAAGGATTCTGGGGCATTTTCGTTGCGATCGGCATCGTCGGTGGCTGGGCTCGACTTACCTGTAGCAACTAGGCCCGTTTCTCACTACCCAGCTTTTTCGTGGTGGGTGGATCCACCAAATTTCGCGCTAGCTTTAGGCCGAGCTCCAAACGCTAGGTTGCAAGTCATCGCTCCCAACCCATTATACAAGCCCCTGAAATCTGTTGAAGGGTTCCAGACTTCTTACAAGAAGTTTGCAAAACTCTTAAACGGACCTTTCGCTGTATGAAACCTGGCTGAAGCTCAGAACTTGAAGGGCAGGGGACTTAGTAAGTAGGTTATAATTGGGGTTATAAGTCCCCTAAGTGGGGTTATCCTAACTATAACCTACTTATAACCTACTTACTAAGTCCCCTGCCCCTCCAAGAGCAACGCTCTTCAGATCTTCAGCCCTAGACCCGCAACCCTGAACCCTGTGGACGTCACCCCAACTTTAAGAAATAGACAACCCCATAAGGGTGGTTGTCAAAGTTATGGTCTCTTTTGGGGTCCTTATCATAATACGTCACGTAATATTTAGGGCACCCAGAAAAGGACCCTAATCTTGACAACTACCCATAATGCTTAAGCCATATAAACCCTTAAGACCTTTCTAGAAACTCCTGACAGAACCCTTAAAAGGAGCCCTCAAACCCTCCCTAAGGCTCCATGTACCCTTATAGTAGATACTTAAGCCCCAAAGTAGTCCCTATATAGGTACTTTAAGGCCTAAGTATCTACTATAAGGGCACATGGAGCCTTAGGGAACCCTGTCTATCTTGAACCCGCAGTCCCCTCAGCCCGAACTTGTAAGCCTCCCTTGGAGTCAACACGTAGGTTCCTGCGTCGTACCCTTTTGCCCTTTTCTTTCTGGGTTCCTTTATTAGACAACCGTATAGTAAAAACCCTAAAGCCTACACCCTAAACCCTTACCCTAAGGCTCAAAATGGCCCAAAACCCTTATATACTATGGTCTTTGGGCCCAAAAGCCTTAAAATGTGAGTCTTAGAGCCTTAGGGTTAGTAGGAACAACAGTCCTTAAATGAGGGATATCGGAGTCCCCTAAACCCTAAACCCTATATAGATATCCCTTATAGATCCCTTTAAGGGTCCCTCCTTTTCCCCTAGGAACAACGGGGCCCTTATTACAAAGGGGCTACTCAGGACCACTGAACCCGGAACCCTAAGCCCCCCTAAATCCTAAACCCAACCACTAAAGGGCTCCTTAAAGGGATCTATAGGGTTCCTTAAAAGGGATCTATGGGGTTCAGGGTTTAGGGTCTAAGCCCCAAAGCCCTACCTTAAGCCGGAATAACCTGCCTTTTTAGGGTTCCGAACTATGACTTCCTTATATAAATCCTTAAAAAGGTAGGTTATTCCGGCTTAAGGCAAGCCCCTAAACCCTAAACCCTACTTAGTAAGTAGGGGCTCCTTTAAAGGGGATTCGAAGGGTTCCTTTAAAGGGCTCTATAAGGGTACTATAGGGTTTAGGGTTGGAGGGTCAGGGGACTTAGTAAGTAGGTAGTAAGTAGACTTATAAGTACCCGAAAGGGACCCTTATTGGGGTTATGGTACTTATAAGTCCTTAAAATAACCAGTTACTAAGTCAGGGTTTAGGGTTTAGGGTTCAGGGTTTAGGGTTTAGGGTTTAGGGCCCGACCCTCCAAGTAAGCCCCTAAACCCCTAAACCCCAAGCCCTGGACCTTGAGACCTCGGACCCCCATAGTACCTTTGCGGAACCCTTACTGGTATCTTGCAGGCTTACTCTTAGTAGCTGAGTGGATACACTTTACACTTTTGGGGGGGCAACAATTACCTAGTATAAAACTGACAGTGTACACTTTTTGGGGGCTTATGAACTCAGCAACTAAGAATTGCAAGTATCAGAGCCCCAATGAGGAACCCGTTCAGGGCACTTAAAGGTCTACCTACGGTTGATGGTACAAATGCTGCATTGCCCATAACAAGGAATATACCATAATCCCCATAGTCTAGGGTCCTTAAGGTAATGCAGGAGTCATATCATAAACCCTAAACCCTCATAGATCCCTTATAGGAAGCCCTTAAAGGTACCCTTATAGAACCCTAGGATTTAGATCATCAACTGTAGGTCCCCATGGTACCCTCAAGCCCAGCAGCCCTAAACAAAAAAACCCTAAACCCTAAACCCTAAACCCTAAACCCTAGACCCTTAATACGGACCCCTAGATTATATACCCTTAATATAGCCATTATATACCCATTATACAGCCCATTATAGGGTAAATCCTAAACCTTGAGCTTCAAAACACTGAGAAGCCTCAGCCCCTAGGCCCCAAGCCCTTAATCCGCCCCTATATGGGTGGTTGTCATAATTAGGGTCCTTGTTTGGGTACCCTAAATAATAGGTGCCGTATTATATTAGGGATCTAAAAAGGGACCATCGCCCATACGGTTGATGATATCAATCCTGCGTTACCCATAATAAGGAATGTACGATATTTTCTCATAGTTTAGGGTCCTTAAGGCAATGCAGGGTTTATACCATCAACAGTATATAAACCCTAAACCCGAAATGCTTTTGGAAAACTTGTAGAACCCTTAACCCTAAAACCTAGACCTAGAACCCTTTAAGTATTAAGGAACCCTGTCAAGCAACCCTTCACAGAACCCTTTAAGGACCCATTGAAAGAGTCCTTTAAGGAACCCCACCCCCAACCTCTTCTTCCCTGGAGAAGGTCTGCGCTTTGCGGTTCTTTTCATCTTCCAGTGGCAGTGAGCTGCTGCCTCCTGGCTTTCAACTTTTGAGGCTTCAAGGTTACGGTTGATGATATACATCCTGCATTACCTTCAGGACCCTAAACTATGGGAATTATGGTATATTCCTCACTATGGGTCATGCAGGGTTTATATCATCAACAGTAGGGACGCAAAAAAGACATACAGTAAACCCTATCAAGCTGGAGGCCAGATTAAAGCTAAATAGTGCTGGGATTCGCTATACATTACTCTTAAGGATTGAGGCTATTGGGTTTCCAAGTTTAGGGCTTCTACCACTTTATAGGGATATCCCTACCTTACCCGGAGGCTCCATCTATAGCACCATTATGGAAATAGGCCCCAAAAAACCATCCATATTATGGCTGTGGGAGCCTCATTCCATAATGGTACTATATATGGAGCCTCTGGGTTATCGAGCTTCATCACAAGGGCGTTTATATGGGGCATCCCTATGGCTTACGTACTATAAGGCGGCTACAAGGGCGGTACTACTGTTGATGATATAAATCCTGCATTACCTGAAGGACCCTAAACCATGGGGATTAGGGTACATTCCTTATAATGGGTCATGCAGGGTTTATATCCCTAAACCTTAAACCCTATACCCCCCGATAGATCCCTTACAGGAACCCCTTAAAGGTACCCTTATAGATCCCTTTAAAGGAGCCCCAGGATTTATATCCCCAAACCCTAAACCCTAAACCCCTTATAGATCCCTTAAAGGAGCCTTTTCAAGGTACCCCCTATAGATCCCCTTTCAAGGAATCCCCAGGATTTATATCATCAACCGTATGACAGGTCTAGGGTTCAGGGTTTAGGCTACTTGAAGGCTCATGGGACTTAAGGTTGTAAGTAGGTTATAGTTAGGATAACCCCACTTAGGGGACTTATAACCCCAATTATAACCTACTTACTAAGTCCCATGATCCTCCAAGTAGACCCTAAACCCTAAGCCCTAAACCCCATAGATCCCTTTAAGGAACCCTATAGATCCCTTTAAGGCGCCCTTTAGGAACCCTTACTAAGTCCCATGATCCTCTAGGGTTCAAAGTTTGCGAGTTTGGAGTCGAGGCTTCAGGGTTTAGAGTTTACTTGGAGGGTATAATGTAAGGGCTCCTTAAAGGGATCTATAGGGTTCCTTAAAGGGATCTATGGGGTTTAGGGTTTAGGGTCTACTTGGAGGGTCGGGGGACTTAGTAACTGGTTATTTTAAGGACTTATAAGTACCATAACCCCAATTAGGGTCTCCCTTTTAGGGTACTTATAAGTCTACTTACTACCTACTTACTAAGTCCCCCGACCCTCCAAGTAGAGTTTAGGGTTCGGGGTTCGGTAGACCACGTCCTTAAAAAGGATCTATAAGGGTTCCTTAAAGGGATCTATAAGGGTTCTATATAAAGGGTTTAGGGTTTAGAGTTTAGGGTTAGGGGTTCAGGGTTTAGGGTTAGGGGTTTAGGGTTATCGCTTTGGGGTTGAGGGTTTAGAGTTTGAGTCTTTGGGGGTTGAGGGTTTTCAGGGGCTTAGGGGTTTTAGGTTTGGGGTTTAGGGTGGAGGGTTTGGAGTTTGAGTCTTTAGGGTCTAGGGCTCGAAGTGCAGGGTTGAGGGTTGAGGGTTTGGAGTTTGAGGCTTTAGGGTCTAGGGCTCAAAGTGTGGGGGGTTAGGGTTTGAGGCTTTAGGGCTTAGGGTTCACAGCAGAAGCACGGGGAGGGACTTAGACATAATTTGTCAGGGTTGAGGGTTTAGGGCTTTGGGTTTAGGGTTTTGTTGGACTTTGGGTTTAGGGCTCTAGGGTTTAGGTTTAATTTACCTTAAGGGTGTTGTGAAGGCTTTAGTAAGGGTACTAGGATATCATGTACACCCCAGTTTAACAGCTCCTCTTGTACCTCAGGGCCTTAGTGTGAGGATCCCTGTCAATATCTTTAGCTCGGTGTTGATCCAGAGACCCTAAACCCTAAACTCTAAGTTTAAACCCTAAACACTAAACTTTAAATTTAAACCCTAAGCCCTAAACCCGAAACTTTAATTTTAATTAAACCCTAAACCCTAGCGTCGCATGCTTTGAGTCGCGAAGCTGTCTGAGGAAAAAATGCGCTGGAGGTGCGGAAGTGAGCTGCTAAGCAGCAACGGACCCGCACGCTTCCAAAGATGCTTCGTTCCCCTTTAGCTTTGTAGTTTTCATGGATTTATGTAATTCTACTAGGTACTGATCCCCTAAGACCCTAATCAAGGGCACTGTGTTAGAGGATGTGATTAATTTCTAGTGATACCCTAAGACCCTAAGGGTACTATGTTAGACTGTTAGCCAAAGATGCGAAGTATAAGGGCCTTCGAGCCTAGGATGTCACGAAGCTAAGTGGGACGAAATGGCTGTAAATTACTTAGACATACCGTTGAATACGGCTGATGACAGAAATCCTGGGGTTCCTAAAGGGATCTATAAGGGTACCTTTAAGAGGCTCATTCAAGGGATCTATAAGGTTTTAGGGTTTAGGGTGTAGTGTTGATGATGGAAATCTTGCATCTCCTTAAGGACCCTAAGCTATGGGCATTATGGTATATTCCTTATTATGGGCCATGCAGGGTTGATACCATAAACTGTAGGGGCCCTATACTCTTAATCCAAGAATCTTACAAGAACGAGAGAAATAGCATGAACTTGAGACCGAAACGACTTATCCTCACGAATGTGGGGTGGGGGGTGCGATTGTTGGGTGTCCTGTTTTGACACAAGGTTCGCAGGATCAAGATGCTGTTCGGCAGATGATCTGTCCACTAAGACTTTAAAAGCATTATCCCTAAACTCTAACCCTAGAGGACGTCAGCCCACCAAGGCCTTTGCAACCCTAAACCCCAAAGGTCCATAAACCGCTTAGAACACCACATATGACACCTTCTGGACCCAGTTGTAGCATTGGTCTACGATTCAAACCATCTTGACAAACATGAAAAACCCGAATACTACACCCCTTGACCCCAAGCCTGTCTATGACTCAAATTTACTGATAGACACAAAACGCCGAAAATACTACACCCCTAACCCCAAACCAGAAAGTTGATAGAGCTGAACCCAGCATTGCCCCAAGGGTCCAAGTACCTAATCCTCATATACTCTCCAAAATCCTAACCTTCATAACTACTATCCTAAAACCGAGTGCCTAATTATTAGGCAATTATATTATGGAACCCTTATAGTAGCCATTATAGTAGCCCCTTATAGACCCCTTTAAAGGAACTATCCTAAAACCGAGTGCCTAATTATTGGGTCCTTTGGACCCTTAGGGTTGGGGACAAGCCACCGCCAGTCCCTTTTTTGAACAATCAGCAGGCTACATGCTCATGTTTCACAAGCCTGCCTCTTCAGGGTTTAGGGTTTAGGGTTTAGGATGGGGTTTAGGGGTTAGGGTCTACTTAAAGGATCATGGGACTTAGTAACTGGGGTTATAATTAGGGTAACTATACTTATAACCCCAATTAAGGTACTTATAGCCTTACTTACTAAGTCCCATGATCCTCCAAGTACATGCTCATGTTTCACAAGCCTGCCTCTTCAGGCCAGGGATAGGGGTTTTACGGTCCTACGGCAAGGTTTGGGAAGTTTAGGTGTTTGCCGCTTTAGACTTTTGGTGGTTAAGGTTTCACTGTGTTTTGGGGGGTTTAGGTTTCACTGTGTAGGACTTTGGCGTTTGAGTTTAGGTTTCGTCGTGACAACTCCAACAACCACTGGGACAATCCTAGGCCCGAGACCTAAATAACCCCAAACACCCTCATCAAGCTCAACATCCTTCTTGATTTCCGGTGTCCGACATTGAAAGAACAGGCTGTTTGTGTAGAAGCCTGAGGAATACCATTCCTAAACGCACTAGGGTGCTGTATCATGCGGTTATACTTATACGATGCAACCTTATTCTAACATTTAGCTAAGGCCCCTACATGATGTATTGGGCTCTGGACCTTTAGGGTAGGAAAGATGGGACTTAGTATCTAGTGTTGTTTTTACTTAGTTACTTGTAACCCCAATTTCAAGGTAACTGAGACCTTGATTACTAAGTGCCGTGATCCTCCAAGCAGTGTGGAGGCTGCAGCTGTGCAGTCTAGACTGTGAGTTCTTCTCATGGTTTCCCTACAGCAGCTGATTGCGCAAAACCTGCACCTAAATCCTAATGCCTAAACCCCTCTAAACCCTGGCCCTAACCCCAAACTCAATCCCTAAACCGCGATATTTAAAGGCAATGGAACCCCTACACAGGGCTCATGGGTTTCTGATACAGGCGTTTAGCGTTCAGCGTGTTGGATTTTCCGCTTTGCTTGAAGAAGGCAGGAATTAACAGTTTAAGCAGTGGTGGACCCGGCGGCTTGTCAAATCACCGCACCCGAGCCCAAACCAGAGGAAGAAATTCAGCTCCTGAGCGGGGGGGGGGGGGGTATTTTGAGGGATCTGAGTTCCTCCTTTGAAGAACCGGGGGAGCTTGACGCGTTCTTCTCGCCTTAAACCCTACCTGTAGGCTCATACCCTACCCCTGTTTTCAGGTAATCCCAGGGTCGCAATAATAGGGGGGGGGGCTCCCCCCGCCCCCCAGCGGGTCCAGGGATTAGGGCGGTCACAATAATGGACAGTGGGGGGTCGCATTAATAGAATGATTGGGGGATTGGGGGGCGGGCTGTGAAGAGAAGAGCTGATGCAGTGATTTGGCTCTTGCGAGGGCACAACATGCAGACAGTGACAGCATGGAGCAAAGAGCAGTGCAGCTGGTGCAGAAAGTAGTTAGCTGTCGCCGCATAGCCAATAAGGAATCCACTCTTTTGGCCTGCTTAAGATTTCTGGAAAAGCAAAGCTTTGGAATCCAACTGCAAGGGGAACTCTTTTTCATGAAGCAGCAAGGACTCATGGACAGCATTGCTTCTAATCCAGGAATCGGCCCCGGAATTTTTTTCATTAATGTGAACCCTTTCATAAATCTGGCCCGGAGTCCTGGGGAGGGCCATTGTAAGGGGTAGCTC